TGTGGGTATGCTTTAGGCCCCAACTAAGTTTCATCTCTGCAAACTATATAGTCCAACTTATAAGCCTACAAAATTAAAAAAAAATAATATATTTTACAATTTAAGAAAAAATCATATAACAGAATTTTTTTGATAAATTCAAAACCCATGGGGGCATTTTGGCGGATTCCTGTATTCAGGGAATTAAAATCCGTTGGGAGCATGGGCGCCCGCAGAAAACTTTCTAGGGGGGGGGGGCAAAAAAAATCAATTAACTTTCCAGGGGGGGCAAACATTTTTTAGAAATGTTTTAATATAGTTTTAATTTACTGTAGCGTATTTGTATGGTGAACGAACGGACAGGACATCAGCTTAGTTACTTTCTCTTTATTTTAAAATTTTTTTGTCTATTTTTGTCTAAAAATTTTTATCCAATCAATCCAGGGGGGGGGGCAAGTGCCCCACCTTGCCACTACCTGCGGGCGCCCATGGTTGGGGGGGCATTTCAGGTATTCAGAAAGGGTAAGGGGTTTCCATTAGCGTAAAACTTAGGCATTACTGCACTAATGAGAGCTGAAGATGGGGCTCATGAGCAGCGCTCTAGAAAATGTTTGATAAAAACAAAATGCAAGGATGTATTTTCACATACCGGTACCCTGAATTTGGTTTTCCAGTATTCTAAACTGAATAGGAGAGCAACAGAAGAGATGCTAGTGAAAATGAAGGTGTTTCTTTACATGGTTTTACGCTAATACAAATGCCATATTTTTTAGTTCTTGTTAAATAGTAATGATGTTTTATATTTTTTAAAAAATCTATTGGCTTCTTTAAACTAATTAATGGATTGAAAACGATATTTCATATTTCTAAAAAAAAAAGAAAAAAGAAAAGAAAAAAAAAAGCGTAACCATTACTCAAAAAGCTAGAATAATAATAACCTTTCAAACACAAATATTTCCAAGTTTTACCATATTCAAAAAAATAATATTGATAGCAATTATTGATACTAATAAACAATAATTTTAAAGCTTGATGATGATGGCATCATACAATTAACACCACACCCTGATTTAAAAAAAAATGATATCATTTTGTGAATAAATAGAAATAATTTAACATATTAATATTGGAATATAGAGTGAAAGGCATAGGTAGAGGGGGCAGAAGGGGACAGATGTCCCGGGCGAAAGAAAAGAGGGGCGCCAAAATAGGGTTTTATGGTACATTTTGTAGGAAAATATTTGGATTTCAGAGCTGAGTGCGCTGTAAAAATGAATAGTGTCTCCATGCTCCAAACACTCGAGCTACGCCTCTGTGTAGAGCTCTAAAGTAAAGCGATGGAAAGCTAGTTTAATTCTGTATTGCTCCGAGTTTAGCCCTCACTTGTTCCACATAGTGTACGTCTTTAAACGGGGAACCTCACCTTGTTCACATAGTGTACGTCTTTAAACGGGGAACCTCACCTTGTTCACATAGTGTACGTCTTTAAACGGGGAACCTCACCTTGTTCACAGTGTACGTCTTTAAACGGGGAACCTCACCTTGTTCACATAGTGTACGTCTTTAAACGGGGAACCTCACCTTGTTCACATAGTGTACGTCTTTTAACGGGGAACCTCACCTTGTTCACATAGTGTATGTCTTTAAACGGGGAACATGTAGAGAAGAAAATAGGAATAAGGGTAAAATGTCGTGTGAACAACGGGAAGTTAAGGTGTAAGATAGAATCAGGAGCGGACTTTTTTGTGGGGAAAACAGAGGCGTAGCGAGGGTTTTGGCGCCCGTGTACAAGATCCATTTTAAAGCGCCCCTTTTGATTTTTTTCAACTGCAAAACTCACTATTTTCATCAATAAAATAATACCAAAGCACATTTTGGCGCCCCTAACTAGCTGGCGCCCGGCGACATCTCCCCCTCGCTACGCCTCTGGGGGAAAAATAGGGTATTTAGAATCTGGTGGTGTATGTAAATTTGCCTGAAATATTCGGATCAAACATATCCAGCTTAGTGATGTTTCAAAGGTTCCAATAGTTCACTCATTCTAAAAGATGAAAGTGAAAGCCACCATTTATTCTTTTTTAAAAATTGTCGAAAATTACTGTTTCTCTGCTTTTAAAAATTATATTTTCGCTTTAGTTGTGTACACATTTTTCTCGGGCGGGAAAAAGGGGTGGGGGGCGAGATATGAGATACCTGAAAGAAACACCTGACTTGGGGGAGAGGCAGCAATTCACCAAACTTTTGGTCTACTCAACTGCAACAGAATTTTTTTTTCATAATGATATAAAGATACAATCATACAAGAAATCAGAAAGCCATTTATTTGTCCACGAAAAGACAACTTACGGTAGCAGGCCTACGTGTTGAGACAAATATTAATTTGCTTTGTGTCGCTGTCAAATCGGATCTAGAATGAAGTCATCGAAACTTTGTTAATAGAGGCTAAGCACATGCGCAACAAAAAAGCACAAGCCAATTTCTACCGTAACACTAATGCCGTTTTTCCTAAGCATCAAGCGAGCAATATGGCACCCACTAAGTCATAATTTTATTGCTTCCCTTTACTTAAATTATTTAAAACATGTGTTCAACATGTTGAACTGTTGCAAAATTTGATGCCATGTGTAAAATTTAATATCTGGTGTCACGAATATGTTGAAGTTAGTGTCTCTCTCTCTCCCCCGCCCCCACTTTTTTTCTTTAGTTTATTATTACCGTAAGATAAACTTGCAAATTAAATAATAAGCTGTTACCCCCGTTCCTTATTTCCGTGCTTCATGGCAATGTTATTCCCTTTTTTTTTTGTTTCCTTTTTTTTAATGTTTTCTTGGTAAAAACAATTGTTATACTTAGGCGGACTAGAATTTCGCATGATCATCTCTGTCAGTCTTTAATAAACTTCTTCTTACACTGATTGCTGTTCTTGCCTCCTTGAGCATTGAGTTAACGGTAATATTTATTCTAAAAATTTTGAGGCTGATGAAGAATTAAAATAGTTTATAGCCTTGATTTTCTTAAAATGTTAGATATAAGTCATCATGTTTAGAAGGCATTTTTTCAATGTTGAGATCGACAAGACCACAGCTGACATTCATTGTATTGTACAACTTTATTGTAAGGGTTCCTCCTGTTTGTCATATTTTAACATTAGTTTTTCATAATACAAAAAATAGTTTCATTATTTTCATCAAAATATCTTATGCTAGAAACTTATAGAAAAAAACAAAAAAAAACACCTTTTCTTTTACCTGTATAAATGGTAAAATGTTTGTTATAACAGAAAACACAGCTGACACATTATATAGATTCAGATGGAATGCCAAAAATCTGGCCTAAAATTGAATGAACTCAAGTTTCAAACCAGAGTTTGTATGTGCTTAAAGGTGTGTCAGATATAATTACAGACATAATCCTAGTATGTCGGGTACCAAAAATTGTTTACAACTTAAAATTGATAAGTAGACATTTCAAAACAGTGGAAAGAGGAAAAAAAAAGATTTTCGCATGCCAAATTCGTTAAAAATTTCTTCACGATAACATGCAAGATTCCAGCAGTCAATATGTACATGATTACAAGTGCCACATTCTTCAAGAAGTCCATGTGTGTCACATTGTCCAGCAGGTGTGTCACATTGCTCTAGTAGACCTTGTGTGTCACATTGTTCAACAGGTGTCACATTGCTCTAGTAGACCTTGTGTGTCACATTGTTCAACATGTGTGTCACATTGCTCTAGTAGACCTTGTGTGTCACATTGTTCAACATGTGTGTCACATTGCTCTAGTAGACCTTGTGTGTCACTATGAGCCCAAACACAAATTTTTAATGACAGGATTACATGTCATAAATGTTACCTGCATTAAAGGGAGACAAGTTTGTTAGAAGTAAGTCTAGAATTCCCCTCCAATTTCTCTTATCTCCCCCCCCCCCACACTATCAAACACATGTTGGCCACTGTTCAGTTATTGACCTGGTCTAAGTTCTAAGGAAAATAATAAAATGTTAGTTTGGAAGTGGTGGCCAAGTTTTGGAAGGTCTTGATTTAAAAGAAGATTTAGTTCAGATGTTCTTAAAATCTTGACAATGAAAAAAGTTATGGGGTCTGGCAGTGAACATAATTACAAATAATAGATTTCATTTCATCAAACTGAAGTCATCTTATGAAATATACTTGACAAGTATTTGAGGAAACTGCTCTTAACATGATGGTTTTCTGTGTTGGTTGTGTGTGAGGGAGGGTTGTCATGTTGGTTGTGTGTAAGGGAGGGTTGTCATGTTGGTTGTGTGTAAGGGAGGGTTGTCATGTTGGTTGTGTGTAAGGGAGGGTTGTCATGTTGGTTGTGTGTGAGGGAGGGTTGTCATGTTGGTTGTGTGTAAGGGAGGGTTGTCATGTTGGTTGTGTGTAAGGGAGGGTTGTCATGTTGGTTGTGTGTAAGGGAGGGTTGTCATGTTGGTTGTGTGTGAGGGAGGGTTGTCATGTTGGTTGTGTGTAAGGGAGGGTTGTCATGTTGCTTGTGTGAGAATCCAGGAGTAAGAAAAGAGTGTGAACTGACAAGGGCTCAAAGTGTGGCTGATACTAACATAATAGCCAAACATACAATCAAGCAAATTCTTAGTACTCCCGATGTAATTTATGAAACAGAACACACAGAGTGGGGGTAAAAACCTGAAAGATTATGAAAGAAAAAAATATGTCCTTTTCATAGTCAATCACCTGATCAGGGTGTGGTTTTTGTCAACCCCAAGACAAGTGCAAGGCATGTCATCCTCAGCCATCACAGTAATAAATTCTGTTTCCCATGTATGTTCTTCAAAATGTTTCTACAGATTTATAGAACATGAAATTTAAATAACGAAAATTACTGGAACAAGCTGAAAGTTTTTCCACTCTAATCTCCAATACATACCTAAAAAGAGAGTCTACATCACCATGACAACAGTGTATCCATGACAGCATTATATAAATGGCCATGACATGGGTTGCACTGATAAATTAGCATGATAGGACTATTGACACTTGCATTGACAATTTGCAATTTACAATTGGCATCTCAAGGCTAAATACATTTTAAAAAAAAACCATAATAAATAGTAAATGGCCTTTTCTTTGGCTTTGGCCAATGTAGCAGGGCTGATTAAATGATCATCGGACTATTGTCTCCTCTGTGCAACCCTGCTGCAAACACAATGGAATTTTGTCCTAAACATTGAGGGGAATTTCTATCATGGCGTGGAGAGTTCATTAAAAACAGTCAAACTAGGTCAGATGATTCAGTGAACACACTCAATGCTAAAGACTATAGGTGGTGGTTGATTCATGAATGCTGTCCCCCTCGTACATCACAATGTACATATCTCAACTCAGCCCAGTGCACATCTCAGCTTAGTCCCAAACGTTTAGCATTGGCTAAAAGCCACTGATGGTAATCATTTAACTTGTGGTCTGTGGGCTCAACCTGCAGGGGAGAGAATGATAATTAAAGCGAGATAACTATTGGTCAATAATAGAATACATTTTGCCAAGTTTCTTTTTAAACCGACTAGTGAAAGTGCTCAAATAGTTACTACTATGTTCTAATAAAACAAAAATTATGTCAACCATGCTGTTATCTTATATTGAACAAGTTCACATTAGTTACCACAGAACTAAAAATATTCCTTTCTTCAACATCTGAATTCAAGAAAATCCCAGAATTGTTGTTAAGTTATAAAAGACCAGCTCACCTGCTTCCATTCATTAATGCAGAAAATTCTGTATGAGTCGTTGCCATATTTCCCTATGCCATGCAGTTCAATAGGGTAAGTCCACTTCTTGGTGAGAAATTCATCTGTTCAATAGAATTATACTTCTTTGTGAGTCAGAGAACAGCTTCAATTCATTGAGAGTTTGAATCATGCAAGTACATAAATTACATGGCAACAGATCTCAAGACTAATCATTTATATTGTCAGAGGAGAAGATTTACCCCCAAAAATTTGATTTTTTACTGCAGAATTTATTAGTTACATGAAAATTCATGCCATTTCCATGAACCATCTCCTGTAGGTTGTCATCTCGGCATAAATTAACGCCCCCCCCCCCAATATGACAAGAAAGTAACTAACACCTGGTTTTCAAAAATAATTCAAGAGTGACAGTTGTGTTATCTAATTGCTTTTTTTAAATGAACATCTAATTGCTTAAAAAATAATTAATAATAAAAGAAAAGAAATTAGAGATTTTCTTGATGATAAATCAAACACATTGGCAGGGCAGAATCCTATAATTACACCAAATCCTTTCAAAAAAAGCCAATCAGAAATAAAAATGTATGTGATGTAATTTTCCAAAGTCCATTAACTCTTTTGCTGCAGATTTTTTAATCGAAAAAATAAGAGCGAGAGGTTGGGTTTATTAAAAAAATATTTAAAATATTAATATTTGGTTTATAAGACTACACTTATTTGGTATCAAATGAAAGATAATTGAAAGGACTATATGTTTGTAAACTTATTTCTTCAGTTTAAATAAAATAAGTTACAGAAAAGAACCATAAAAGGTGAAAACATTTTATGCTAAACCATTTTCCCCCCAAAGCTTATGATGTACACATACCTCATATTCACTTCTATAACTCAAATCCTCTAAAACTAGTACTATGGGAATCATGCGATGGATCTAAATATAAATCATCTTCACTATCAAAAGAAATAGAATAAAACTATTCCAAAGCTTTTTGAGCTGTTAATCGTCTAGGAAACTTATTCACCTACTAGGGTCTAGAGTAGCCATAGCAACAGTAGAAAAAAAGCGAAGAAAATCATTAAAAAAAATGCTTCAAATGAGAACAAATAAATCTTGGTTTTGCTTATAAACAATGAAATACCATTCTTCTATGTAAAAGTCTTATTTAAAAATAGCTCTTAAAAAGTTTAACCGAGAAGTAGAAAAGAAACGAACATGATATTGAAACAACGCACAGCGCATTGGCCTGTGCTTTTGAGAACGGCGGAAGAACGCAGTGTGTGTTGTTCCACATCAAAAGAGTTAATAAAGGGGTATAACTACAAAATTGAGACATTGATTATCTGCATTTTGGTACTTATGTGGTTAGTTGAATAAATGGAGATAACAAGATTTACAAGGGATTGGTAGGCATCAAGGAGCCCAGAGAAACTAGGTAGGAGTCTAGAGAAACTAGGTAGGGGTCTAGAGAAACTAGGCAGGGGTCTAGAGAAAGTAGGTAGTCATCTAGAGAAACTAGGTAGGGGCCTAGAGAAACTAGGTAGTCGTCTAGAGAAACTGGGTAGTGATCTGGAGAAACAAGGCAGGTGGTCTGGAGAAACAAGGCAGGGGCCTAGAGAAAGTAGGTAGGGGCCTAGAGAAATTAGGCAGGGGTCTAGAGAAACTAGGCAGGGGTCTAGAGAAAGTAGGTAGTCATCTAGAGAAACTAGGTAGGGGCCTAGAGAAACTAGGTATTCATCTGAAGAAACTGGGTATTCATCTGAAGAAACTAGGCAGGGGTCTAGAGAAACTAGGCAGGGGTCTAGAGAAACTAGGCAGGGGTCTAGAGAAACTAGGTAGGGGTCTAGAGAAACTAGGTAGTCGTCTAGAGAAACTGGGTAGTCATCTGAAGAAACTAGGCAGGGGTCTAGAGAAACTAGGCAGGGGTCTAGAGAATCTAGGCAGGGGCCTAGAGAAACTAGGTAGGGGTCTAGAGAAACTAGAAAGGGGTCTAGAGAAACTTAGATAAGAGCCTAGAGAAACTAGATAAGGGCCTAATGACACAGGATTGAGGTCAACAACAAACAACGCTAACTTAGATTTAATGAGCTTCATAACACAATAAAGGTAAAACAGTAGAAAAAAATGACATTTTTAAAATTGTAAATGAACACTGGAGCTTACTTGAAAATCTAATAATTGTCTTTGCCCTAGTATAGTTGAGACCTATTGGAAAAAGCAAGTCTGCCACCTCCTCCTCATCAGCACAACGAGCCAACTCAGGTGTTGGCCAACGATTGAGGAACTTCCACAAAGTTGGGATGGCTTGTCGACCTGTAAAGTTTTAAAAAGTTAGCTTTACTTGTGATATCATTTCAGTAAGTAAAATTATTTGTTGACTGCACTGACAAATTTCATTAATTAGCTGAAATATTAATTTTTTAAATAGAAAAATTGCTTCGAGTGATAATGAAACTTTGAACATAGTAACTGGAGATTTTTTATTTGTTTAGTGAAAATAAAGATGCTACTTGAAGTTTTACTTAGTGAGACTAAAGAAGGTACCTGAAGTTTTGATAACTGTTTGGTGAGAATACAGATACTACCCGAAGTTTTGATTATGGAGAATAAAGAAGGTACCTGAAGTTTTGATAAATGTTTGGTGAGAATAAAGATGCTACCCCCCCCCCCCCCCACCCCCCCCCCCCCAAGTTTTGCTTCGTAAGAATAAAGAAGATACCTGAAGTTTTGTTAAGGAAAATTGTGGCGACCAGCAACTTCCATGGGTCATGAAAAAGTGATTCTTGAACAAGGCAAAATGGAGACCTGGGTGGAATCCACTTTTCATCTCGTCTAAGTTTTGGCCTTGTAAGGTTACCATATTTTTTAAAGTATTTGCTTTTTGCATTAAATGCTGCAAAAAAGTATGTTGAACAAAATAAAATAGAAAAAATAATAAAATTAAAGGTATGAAAATTGGATATCAGAACAAACAAAAAATGATATTCTGTACTATTTTGTAACTTTTGAGGCTTAAAGATTAATATGCCATCAACATAATGCAAAAATAATTTATTAAAAATTGAAATCAAGTTCTCCTATGGTCATTGATGTATGTCAAAGAATTCAATAATTTAGAATAACTATAAAATTTTCTAACTCTAAAATTGGGGAGGAAGAAAGGGGGGGGGGGGGGGGGTTAAATAAGAAAAAAAAAAAGTTTTAAGAAATAAAAATAAAAAATAAAGAATTCAATAATTTAGAATAAGTATAAAATTTTCTAACTCTAAAATTGGGGAGGAAGAAAGGGGGGGGGGGGTGTTGAATCAAGAAGAAGACAATGTATTAAGAAATAAAATTAAAAAAACCATTTTGAATAAACTTACAGTTACAGTTACTTAGAATCATCTCTGCTGTGATTTCCTCTGGTTCCTTGTTGTTGATACCATTCTGTACTGAGAGGAACTCTACCAGGGAGTTTTCATTATCTTCAAATGGCAAGGACTTTCTTGGCATGACAGAGTGTTGAAAGGACTGCTGTATTTGTGTTTGCTGCTCCAGTCCTAGCTGGTACTCTTCCCATGTCATTTCTTCCATCTGCTCTCTACCTCGCTCTGCTGGTAAACTTTCATTAGGTGTCTTGCTAAGGTCTGAATTAACATCTTTGTCAGCTGATTTGCCCAGACTCTTCTTAGGCCTTCCACGTTTTTTGGGTGATGCTGCAAGTGCTGATTTATTTTCTAAAGAAATGTTTGCATTTTGGTCAGCAGAAGGTCCATCAGTTTTGTCTGTTGTGGCTTTTTCTGTAGTGGCTATGTCACCAGAATGATCTATCGGGCTGGTGGATTTCAGTAAAGATAGGGACTTTTTCTTAGGAGGCCTTCCAACTTTCCTTTTGCCTTCATTTTTTACTTCATGTGCCTTCACTTCTTGATTACTCTTTTCAACATTTGTTTCTTCGTTCCTTTTACCAATGTCCTCAGGACTATCTATGTTACACTTTGAAAGAATTTTTTCCTTACTATCTGACAGAATGTCTTCTTTACTCTTTGAAAGATTGTCTTCTTTACTATCTGACAGAATTTCTTCTTTACCCTTTGAGAGATTGTCTTCTTTACTATCAGACAGAATGTCTTCTTTACTCTTTGAAAGATTGTCTTCTTTACTATCTGACAGAATGTCTTCTTTACTCTCTGAAAGATTGTCTTCAGGTGATGGTTTCGAGGATTCTTCAAACAGTGACGTAGACGTATCTAGTTTCATTTTTTTTACAGGTACTCCAGTACTTTCCAGGCCCTGTCCACAGTTTTTTGTGTCTGTGACAGAAGACTTTGGTGGCCTTCCACGTTTCTTTTTGCCAGGTGTTGTGTGAAGCGGGGCAGGGGCCGATGCTACAGGCTGGACCGCTGGTTCCTGTCTACTGGGAGCAACAAAAGGTTTGGGGGTCAGTCTGACCATTGTGCCTGGCTTCAGAGTTTTTGTGGTCACGGTCTTGGGGCGGCCTCTTTTCTTTTTCTCTGGCAGATGGGAGACGGGACTATCATTGTGGCTTGGGCTTGCCATTGATGAATCCTGTGCACACTCATCCACTGATGTCTCCAGTTCACTGAACATCTCTGATTCTAGAACTGCCGGAGCACTTGGTGTGCTGCTCAGCTTGGGTTTCTTTCCTCCCTTCTGGGACACATGACTCTCAGGTGTACATGACTGGTCAACATCCTGTCCGTCGGCCATACTAGAGCTGGTAGCCTCCTTGCCGGGTCGAGTCCCTGACACAACTTTTGGTTTTCTGCCACGTTTTTTGGATACGGGTGTTTGGACCAGCTCAGATGTGGTGGTCTCAATATCAGCATCTTGGCTGTTCTCTAAACTTACTTTATCTTGTGATTTCTTGCCTCTCTTTTTAGGGGAAGGTGTTACTGCACTTTGTTTCCCTGTTTTCAATTGACCTTTGCCCTTCTCAACAACAGCTGTAAACTGAGGGCCTCCTGAATCATCTCCAACAAGATCCTTAGCTTCTTCAGACTCCGTCCCTTCTCCATCAGTAGGTGCAAAATAAGAGCAAATTTGACTGGTCTCTTTTCTAGACATTTTAGATTTGCCAAAGCCACTGCCAAAGGGCATTTTGATGACCAGCTTTTGTAATGGCTGCTGATCCTTGTCCTCCACTGCTTCTGTGGCACAACTTTTCTTCCCAAACAGGCCCCCAGATTTTACTTTCACCTGGTCTTTCCCTTCCGTAATAGACAATTTAGTGTGTTTAAAAAGTGACTTGTTATTCAGAAAACCACTCTTTGCCTTCTTAACACCTCCTAGATTTTTCTTTCCTGTTGGTGTTTTTGGGGGAAGTGCAAATTTGGTTTTGGTTTCAGGTAAATCTACTAGGTCAAGGATACCCTTTTCTTTCAACTTGACCAGCCTGAACTCAAACATCTCCATGTCCAACTCCATACCAGTTCTTTCAACCATGGCCAGTATCTCTGTTTTTGACCTCAACTTTTTGTTGTCAGGGCTGAAAGATTAGAGAAAAGGAAATTGTCTTAACTGTAGTTTCAGACATAAATGGTGCTGATCCATTGGATTTTTTATAACGCTATGTGCCCGCACGAATAATTTTTTTCCTTAAATATCAAGTCTCTTTTCCCCATTTTTAAAAGCTTTATTTTAAAAAACTCTTTACATACCTGTAATAATAAATGTCATATTTTCCAGCTGACACGCCAGTCATACGCTGGACTGCCCTAATCCTCCAGCCATTGGCAAGATCTTTGCTTTCTTCTCTTGGCCGCGTCTGAGGTGATGATTTGGGAGTAACCTCGGCAGGAGAGTGCACAACTTTGGTTTTTGATCGCACAGTCTTGTTTTTGGTTTGGACAGGAGTAACAGTTTCAGTAGCCATTGCCTCTTTCATTTCTCGTCTGAAAATTTATTAAAATTTATTTAAAATTTTCATGCCTGAAATATTTTTTTTTTAATTTACGGGAAAACAAAAACACTCAAAGAAAACAATTGTAAAAGACAACATAATGAAAAGAATATTCAAATTTTTTTTTAAATAAAAAAAATTGACTAGGTAAAAGTACTTACAATTTAGATGTAATTTTTCTCTGACGTTTCCTGGGAGCCAATCCTTCTTCTACATTCTCAGAATCTTTACTTGCATTAGTAACACTAGCCTCTTGGCTGCCCTGTGAATCTTCTGACGCCAAATCCTCAGAAGGCATTTCTGCGGAGGCGGTGAGATCATCTTGAGTTTCACTTAATTCTGACTGCAATTCAAGTTGGTCCGCCTGAGAACTTTCTCCTATGGCTGTGGGCTGGGTATCCAACCCTTCCGGCTCCTCTAGCCTCTCAGTGATCACCTTTTCTGTGCTCGACTCCCCTTCACCCTCTTCTTGACTATCGCTGGCATCCGCAGGTCTAGAAATACTAGCATTGTCGTTGCTTTCTGTTGAATTTTCATTCGAATCATTTACTTCTCTTTCCATGGCCGGTGATTTTGTGTTTTCTGTTTCTGCAATGCTTTCTAATTTTTTAAGCTTTTCATCATCAACGGGGGTTTTCCCACTATCATCTGTGGTAGCAGATGATACATCCGCAGATGTCTCTGTTGTTTGGCTGCCATCCTTTCCTGCAAGGTTTTTATTTATTTCATTATTGACCGCATCTGCGGCGAAGGACGTTGATTCACTATTAACAATTACAGCACCTTTTTCATGTGTTTTAATATTGCTCTCACATTCATTGGTAACTTCTTGGTCTGGCTGGGAATCTTCCTTGTCCAAATTGCTTGGAGCTGAAGAATTCACATCAATTTCCTTTGACTGCTCACTTCCAGAACCATCATCCCCATGGCTTTCATTTCTTTCAACATCACCCCCTTCAGTTGCTTTTGGAGATGGTCCCTGGTCACTGTCCAAAGAATGTTTCTTGTCAGTTGGGTTTTCAAAAGTATTAATTGCATTTGAATCCAGTTCACTGTCATTAAAATCAGACTTTTCTAATAAACTCTCATCTCCACTGTCAATATTTTCCTTTCCACTACCAACACTTGTCACCTCACTTTTAAATTCTTGTTCGCATTCTGCAACTTTTTCTTCTGATTGCTCATCGTTACCATTTGAGATATTTTCACACTCAGGGTCATCTTGTGACAACTCTGTGTCATTCAATTTGTCTTCCATTGTTTCATGTTCCACAATTTCTGATGTTGATGCTGCTTGTTTTTCAACTTTAGACTCACTTGATACTGTATTGTCACCTGCTGGCATGACTGCCTCTTGCGTGTCAGAAGTCTCCATGCTGAAGAAAGAAAAAATATACTAAGTTATAATGTAACCAACAGTCCCAACACTCAACAGCAGGGTTCCACTAATTACAAAGGTGCCCAACAATAACGTCAATTCAATATACTGCATCAATGGTATGGCTTCAGAAAATGTGTAGATTCATTCGCAAATTTAAGAAGTACGTGAAAAAGTGTACACAAAATACAAAAATCCACACCAAATAGCTCTTTATCCACAATAGCTTTAAAAAAAATAATTTTATAAAAAAAAAAAAGAAATCACTTCTCTTCCTACTTTTAAACAATCCCAAAATATTGGAAAACTGTGCATTAACATAAGCCAATTTATAGACACAAATTATTAAGCTATAGCAAGGTTTTGTTGTTTGGGAGATTACTAGAGATCCTAAACTGCTTAAAAAAAAAAAAAAAAAAAAAATTAAAATGATTAAAAAAAAAAAAAAAAAAAAAATTAATAAAATTCGACTAATCTGCTTATGAGAGCAAGAAAAAGTTATCCAAAGCTAGGATGTACAACTGTATTACTTAATTATTGGATGCTTTTTCGTGATACAATCTACAGAAATTGATAGTTCCGAAATTCAAGTCACTATTTAGCGATGTTTGTGTTTACACAAATACATGATGACAGGTGGACCTGATTGTTATGAGATAGTAAGCAGCAGTTGAAACTCCATCTATTTTGCAAACTAACAACTGTTAATTTTATTTACTGTTCCACAGTCTTTCCACCAATCACTACAGGTTAACAGCACTTGAATCAATGCTGCAACTTAAAATGATATTATTGAATTGTGATATCCAGTTACACAAATCATTTCATTGATTTTGATAGCAGAAAACACAACTGCAAAGATACAATTACCTCCAATTTAGCTCTCAGTAGAAGTCATTGGAAAACGATATAATTTGCAATTACCGTCTATTTGACTCGGCCAGTGTACAGTATTTTATGACATGCAAAGTGAGTTTTGGAGTACCGGTAACTATTATATACTGTTGATTTCTTTTTTAAAATCTTTACCAAATAAATATTAAATACAAAAAAACTGATAACCTTACAATAGTAATATTTAAAAAAATCTTAAATAAAATTTAGTGTAGTATTAGTATCAAGTCAGATAAAGGTTTTAAAAAATGTTAAAACATTAGTTTTACATAAATAACAGAAAAGTAGTATTTTATTATATATATTGCAGCCAAAGAATAAGGTTGAGAATATGCTTATAACTGGTTTTTTTGTCTGTAGATCTAGTTGTCTAGCATTTATGATAATTCCTGAATTATTTGATTCATTTAGTTAAAATTGACGATATACTTTTTATTTCACCATTTTCTATATATGTACCAGTAGTCCCATATGAATAAGAACAAAAAATTAGTATGTCATTTATTTTAAGTTAGGAATCTTGTTTTACATATTAACTTATTAACTTGCATTGTTAGAATCAGCTTTGGTGGTTGACAGAAATTAGAATAAGTTCTAGTCATTTTCTTGAGGTAAGTACAAGGTTTTATAACTGTTCCTTAGAAATATCTTGTTATTTTTGAATTATTGTGCCAGCAAGTTTGTTTTTTCTTTGAAAATACTGAGGATTATATTTGTAACACATGCTTTTCTATTGCTGATGTAGCAATCCTTAACAGTGGCGTAGCTAGGGTTGGTGTCACCCAGTGCCGTAAACTCATGGTGTCACCCCCCCCCCAAACTTCTATGATCGATTTTTTCTTGTTAAAATAAGTCCACAGTATAGCATCAACCTTGAACTTTTAATAAAGCACACATTTGGATTGGTTACATTTGTGAAAAATATATGTGTGATCGGTTATTCTTTTATGAATCTCGATTTTTGCGAGCAATATGTGCCCTGTAAATATGCAATTTTTCAATCGGGTGTCACCCCTAAAATGGTGTCACCCGGTGCGGTCCGCACCTCCCGCACCTGCCTCGCTACGCCACTGATCCTTGACATGGTTAACTAATACTTTTTTTGATTGTCATGGATGCCGCTATCACTTGCGTAATCTATTCTCTCACTCCTCAAATTCAAACTTAGCTGTCCTCTCACACAATGAAGTGTCAACTTCCAATGAATTGATACAGTACTTTTTTATATAAATTAAACACGACAATAATAAGACTTGCCAGGAGGATATCCTGCAATAATTCTAGGATGCAATAATCACATACTTATTCAATATTCCTCATCACAATTGAATCACATTACTTCAATACTCTAATAATCTATACGAGAGAAAAATAAAACATGTCTGCTACCTCTAAGATAAAAAATTGTGCACTGCTCCGCTTTACTTAAGGGTCAAGTGAGCTTCCGCTCTAGAAACTAGTTCCCTCTTGATCTGTTACAATATTTATCATAACTCTCTCGCGGACTAGTGTGATGTGATTAAATATAGGAAATTTCAATTTTAAAGGTAAGTGATTATTTTTTACATTTATTCTTGGTTTATGCCTTCTTAAGACTCATAATCATTAAAATATGTTTACATCGCCTAAAATATCATTACATATAATTTATAACAATAGGTCCTACAAATAATAAGCTGGGTTGGGGGTAGGCCTATAATAGTGTTTCTGGCATATAAGATGATCCCCTACTTTTCCTGTTAAAATATAGGGTTTGGACTATACCAGTGTATAAGACTGCCCCTCTTCCAATGCACACCAAAAAAAACTTAAAAAACATCAGATTTGATTTCAATATGGCAATTTTATTCAAATGCTTTTTTATTCCATACCACTTCTCTTGGCAGTCCTATTTCAAGGGTAATTAATGATACCTGTTTATTTAAATAAATTTACTAACTGATAAACGGGCAAACGCAGTGTTTTCATAGTATACTAAATGAAATAGTTTATGTTAGCAAATAGTTCAGAGTTTAGTTTAGGGCCGACTTGGCACCGCTATCGAAAATAGGTAAATATAACTGTTTTCTTCACAACAAGCAACTTATTTAAAGCACACTTATAACTTATTGTAGCATAATTAAGATTAAATTATAAAATAACATTAAAATATATTTAAAAAACTAACTTACAGAAGAAAAGTAATAACACCTTTATTATCGCCCAAATAATCAATATTTCGTTGTAAATAGAAACTTGCAGGTGTGTTTTATTAAAGTTTTATTTATGAAGCATTGTTGGCCAGATTTTATTACATGAACATTTTGACCTTCCTGATAAACGGTGTCTTTATAAGTGTTTAATTTGAAATGGCTCTCCCATCCCAATAATTATAAAATTTACCGATGTCCTTTTCAATTAATGGAATGAGATCTTTTCTTAATGCAAAGGCTTTCTTGAGTTTTTGGCATTTTCGGAATTAGATTGTAATTGTACCAAAATTTTGTGTCCATCATTATTTCAATTCTGTCTTAAACTACTTCCTGTTAAAAGGTTTCTGTGTCTATCAGATCATACCCAAAATCATGTCACTTCTATCAAATTAATGACTACATGATAAAGAAGTGTATCACTTCATTTACGGTATCTTTATGCAGTTTTATTTTTCAGGAGGGTTTATTTTCAGTGTACAAATATAGTAAAATGTAGACCTAAGGCAGAGCTACTATGTTACTTTTTAAGGAGGGTCGTAATGTTAAACTTAAACTAATATTATTACTACTAATTTAAACGTCACTCTCACTTCTGAGGACTTCTCTCAGTACATGACATAACAGTATTAAAGTACTACTAAACTAAACTTAAACTACTTAGGACAGTACTCAAAAGTAGAGACTGATATAAGGTAGGGTGAACAAATCATGAACTGGAAAAAACGGGACACACCCAAGGAGGGTTTGTGGGGGATACCCTCCAGCTAAAGTGGGGGCTTCTGCGGAAACTGGTTGCTCATTTTAACTATTTTAAGACCTGGCTTAAAAAAAAAAAAGAAATCTTTTTCAATTAACCTTCACTTTTGTAATATAATTTAAACTTTGAGGCGCATCATAAACGAAAACAATAATTTTGCAGTAGTGCATACTTATTTATTTAAACATATTTTACAACATAATAAAACAAAGCAAATTAAATTTCTCTAGTCTAGGATTTAAATTTAGGATATTTGGCTGTTGTCCCAGCCATTGTTAAAACCTCCTTCTTATCTAATATAAATTTGTAAAAACTAGAACAGTCCATTTCGAAATTGTAGAGAACCTGCAGGATTGCAGAAAGGGTCTCTACTCTCATCTTGTTTCTTTCGTCCGTTCATTGAATGTTCATGAGCGAAAAGATTCTTTCAGTATTACCATTATGGGCAGAGAACACATATAGGCATATTTTCAAAAATTCAGAGTGTGTTCTGGCTACACAGCTAGTCAAAATATTACTTGAAGTTATATTATAAATTAGGAAGTTTTAGTGATTTGAAAATGTGTTTGGGTTTAGAAACGGGACATTAAGGCATCCCAAGAGACATTTTCAGGACACCGGATACAATCGTAAAAAAAAAAGAGAAAATCTCGTTTTTACGGGACATTTGGTCACCCTAATATAAGGGCATCTAGGGCTAGTCAGTAAGCTGCTAGACTAGTCACTGCTACTTACACACTGCTATGTCTAGAACAGGTGTGGTCCATTGCCACCCAAAAGTAAAAGGCTTCGCAGGCCACCTTGATCTGATTAGTGAGTAAACTGTTTCAAGTTTTCTGACATTTCATCGCAATTAATTGATTCATTGCATTTACAGTGTGAATTAGAGCCGTAATATTAAAATAAGCATCCACTAAATGAAAATTCTTAATTAATAAATATACACATAATTTATGAAATTGAAATGTAAATAACAAAGCAAGAATAAAACTTAAGATTAAAATAATATGTAATATGAATGTGATACTATTTTATCTTTTCTCTCACTAATCTTTTTAAAATCAATTTCTTTATCAATTAAATGATTTGAAGAATTAATAATAGGTTTATGTTAACCGTTAATTGGGATAAATCAGGCATCCATAGAATATGATTCTATATAGTGACATGGATGACGGGCCGTGGGTTAGCCACTCCTGGTCTAGAAGTTACTCGCTTTCAGTTTCAGAATATATCCCCTATGGCCAGGCTTTGGTGTTATCTATAAATGACATCACAATAAATTCTATAAAAAATATAGGAAAACATGTCTTAGGTTGTTGGGGGGGGGGGGGGGTGAGGGGCCTATGAATTTGTGACAATAGTTGCAAAGTTGGGTTGGGGGGAGGTAAAAAGTCAGTCAAAATAGCTAGAGGATGGCCTCTTTCACTATCATTATTATTTTTATTTTCAATTCAATTGATTTAGTATACTTACATTAAAATTAAATAATTGCCTCTGATTAAAATACAGAATTTTAATTTATAGGCCTATTTTATTTTGTTTCTTACAAGGAATTCTATATAAATTGGACGACTTGAAAAAAATAGCAGATAGTTTCAAATGGATGACTTTGGAGGTAAATATATTACACATGAAGCATGATGAAGAAGACAATTGATTAACTAATAATTACCGGGTACTAATAAATATTTTGTTCAGTGTATGGTTTTAAAAAATTTCTAAGAAACGTTTTAGAGTTGTTAAATTTTATACCTAATATTATTTCTTTCCATGTAACCTTATGAAATTCGAGAAATTAGTAGTTCAATATTTTAGGACATTTTTTTGGAAAGAGTTCCTTTAACGAAAGGGGCAACGAATTAGCAACTGTTAACATCAGCAATAAAGTAGGATCTATTTTTTAAAAAATGGTAGAAATTGTATTAATAGTATTATATTTTAGTTTTGATGATAATCGTTTATTTATATAAACGGTATTATAACGGTATTATATATTTTTTAAAATTATTTATTTAAAAGGTTGCTTGTATATGTGTAGAATTAATATTTAGGCATGGATTTGTCTGGACATGAAATTTATTCAAAACATTTTTATAATAATAAATTTTGTGTGCATCAAAGGCTTAATGACATGCATTTGGAGAATATTATTATATCATTTGCTTTTATTATATAATTTTAGTGGATGTAAACTTTTGTATTAATCTTACAAATTTTAACATCTTGGCATGCTAAGAATTGGATCAAAATTCACTTTCTTTTTATAGAAGAAGAAGTTGTTGAAAATCCGACTTTAAGAGCAGCCTACAACCTTGAACCACTGCATCAGAATCAAGCGCTTCGTTGGAATTACGAGGTAAAAAAAATCATATCCTAGAGATCACTTGATTAGTAAGGTTTTCAAGCAAAAATCATATTTCCAATAAATGATCTTGAAAATGATATCCAGTTGTTGTTTCACTATATTTCCCTCTTCTTATTTCCTGCTTAACAGAATCACATCTTGACCTTCCGTATGACCTACTTTGGAATCTTTTCAAACTATTTTTTTAGAATCTTGGTTCACAGAATTAATTCTTGATCTTTCATATATGATCTCATTTGGTTTTAGAATATTGCTTCACAGAATCACTTCTTGATCTTTCATATGGGAGCTTTTCAAACCCTTCAATCGGTTGATAAACACACATAATCTCTTGATATGAAGTTAAGTTTGAGCCATTTTTCAAATTTTCCCTTTAAATTGCATTCATCATTTTCTTATTATAGCCTGCATAGCAAGAATTTAACCATATACTGATATTCTGTTCTTTTAAGGCCTCTAATGTTTTTTTTAAAACTATTCAAAAACATTTTTAGCACAGAAATTATTATATGATAGATCATTCTGAAATATTTTTTAACTTTTATTATTTATTGCATCTATCTGGCAATTGATATTATGTCACATGAATTGTTAGGTAAATTTAATGAACTAACTTTGTTATTTCCCCATACTCACAATGTATTTTTACTGCTTTTTGTATATATATATTTTGTATACCGTTCCCTATTCAGAGGTATAATAAATATCTCTGTTCTCTAGAGTTATTCAATTCAAATGCTACAACACTTGAAGAATTAAATGGAAGTAGAATATGGCACATACACTTTTAAATTTATTTATTGTGCTTTGTTATTGGTTCCTCAAATTTATAAGAAGGTTTACAAATAGTTTTTCTATTCCTTAGGTGCATTTAATAGGGGAAAAAATTTATGACAAAGTAATCCATCTTTGTGAAGTGTGTGAACTGCCTATTCTTGTTTATGGACGTATGGTAAGTTTTTTCTTATTTTTTTCTTCATTAAATGTTTATTATGAATAGATAGCATTTTATAGATCAGAGCTCCACAACCGGCGTACAGGTGTGCCACAGCAAAATTCCCACCCATGAGAATAAAAAAACAAGTGAAGACAATATAAATTTGATGAAATAAAAGGGGTAATAATTAGCTAATTTACAAGTTTGGTCAAGATATGAAGTTATATAGCACAGCACTTCTGCATGTTTAAATTTGGTGGGTCACATGACAAGTCACATTTTAATCATTGAGTTAAATCTGTCCTAAGGGATGAATCAGATATATCCCTGTTGTTTTGACCTTTAATCACACACTTTTCACATCTGTGCTGTGTAATACTTCCACTACATTTCGATGGCTAGTTGTTAAAAAAAATTCTACACTACTGAGGTACCATTTCATCACCGTAAATAAAAACAAATCCAACACAAACTAAGTCCCGTCCGCTAAAGACTGAGAGTACTGAAATCTTTTCTCTGATTTTTTGATACAGTCAAAACATGTGTTTATCACCTTGCAACATATTTGTTCTTAAATGTTGCTTTTGTTTTATTATTATTTTTATACTGAAATAAATATGGTAATTTTACACATGAATGTAATATTTAACCGGTACATAAAAGTAAGTAGTCGCTGATTTTTTTGTATCAAAAAGGCTATTTTATTTGTGTGTTTTGAATATGGCGGGGAAGGGGGGGGGGTTGAAGAGGGAATGTTCATTTTTGATAAATAGGAGGACAAAAAGGGGTGTGAAAAAAAATAATTTAAAAAGAGTACAAAAAAAAAAGTATACATTAAATGGGGGGGGGGTAGAAGAGAGAATGTTCATTTTTGATAAATCAGAGTACAAAAAGGGGTGTAAAAAAAAAATAATTTGAAAAGAGTACAAAAAAAAGAGTATACATTAAATAGGGATATTTGTGGTGTGGTGATAAATCGACTCTGAAAGCTATAGAAGAACTCTCCCTCCAGTTTCATGAGGAATTTCGGAAATTGAGGAAAGATGGTACAGTGAAATTAAAGTTCCATTTTGATGTTTTCCGGGAATTTGTCAAGGAAGAATAAACTAGAATTTCCAACGAGGCTATTTCAGTTCTGCTACAATTTTGAACCACTCTTTCCAATGTGAACAAATTTTTCTACTCTTATTTTCATTTAAAAATAATATGGTCGGATATTCTGCCAAATATAAAGCATTTATGTTCAGCAGTATAGGCTCAAAAGTTTCATTGTTTATTGTTAAATTTAAATATTTTAATTGTGTATTTCGTTTTTAAATTTTTTATCTATATTTCTGTTCTGTTGATATTCACAATAGTGACCAAATATTTTATGTTATATCAATTTGTAGGCTATAAAAGATTTACTGGCTATTTTAATGCCTTTAAGAAATAAACAAAAAACTTTTAACTGTTTGTGCATGTAAAGAACAGTAAATTAGATGTGTTTTTCTTATATTTTAATTGTGGTGTGCCTCGGAAATCTGGGAAAGATGTGACATGGGTGAAAAAAAAAAGTTAAGGAGCACTGTTCTAGATGATAAGTCAACATCTCTGTTTGTATGGTAATGAATGTATAATTGGTCTTCATTATTTTTGTTTCAGTTACCATGTAAACACATTTTCTGCTTTGATTGTGCAAGAAAATATGAGAAAGCTTGCAGAAGGTAAATTTTTACATATATATGTTATTATACATCGAGCCGAAATTTGTTTAAGGTGCCCAGATTATTTTATCATTAGTGAAATTCATTCTTTCAGTCTTCTCAAGCCAAATGGTGATGGAGGCAATAGCCAAAATTTATATCTTCTTTTGTAGCTGCCTGCAAGATCAGGATTTTATATCTTTGATCCTTCTTAATTATTCTGCGCCCTGTCTCTTTTGGTTTTCCTCTGTTTTGTTTTCTCTTGGCAGCCCATCTCAGTTTTGTCCCAGACCTGGTTACTCTTACATTTTTGGTGTACAATGTTTTGAAATGTCTTATAAATGTTCGTCAAAGCTTGTCATAGCTATGATTTTAAGAGACCTGGTTAAAAAAAAAAATTTCTGTATTTTTAACAAGAAAAAAATAGTTTCGTTTGTTACTTTTAGCTCCTTTCTACATCTGGTGGTGAATGAACTGAGAAATATGATTGGTTGGGGATACATCCATAATTATATTACTTACACAGAGAGGGGAGGGTAAGGGTGTTGAATTAGGAGCGTACAGGTGTGCATGGGAAGGGAAGTGTTAAATATCTGTTACATAATCAATTAATTCATCATCTGAACTGCTGCATGTGCAAAAATAGAGTAAACTCCTGGGGTTTTTTTTGTTGTTGTTTTTTAAAAAATACATTCTACGCACATAATGTTGGACTGCGATAAAGCTTTCATGTAGATTAATGAGACACAAAAATTTGTTTAAATAAAACAATATAAGTTGAGCTTTAATAATGGTTACACAGATTACAGATTCAGTGTAATGCAAATTCTGTGTAAACATTAATAAAGCTTAACCTATATTGTGTTATTTACACAAATTCTTTATGTCTCATTAATCTCAATCTCCGTGCAGCAGTGTTAGATTTTGATATATTTATTAGGTCTAGTAAGCGGTATAGGAAATCTATTTTTAGAAGTCGTTACACAGCTGTACAATTTTAATAGCCCAGTTTTGATCCAGCACTCCTCTTCCCTTCTCCCAATACAGCTTGTAGAGTGGTCCAAAACTAAATTCAGGTACATGCAAAGTTTCATCCCGCCATTTTGAATTATAAAAAAAAAATTATGGAAATTTGCTCAGTCCAGTAACTCGGCCTGCTTCACTCCTTACAAGCCCAAACTGGCATTATTTATATTTGTAGATACATTTAATGATGTCTCTTCATGGACTTTTACTAACTTCCTGGTGGTTTAAGATTATAACTATTTGGCATATACCGGTAGATATCAGCTAGATGACGTCTGCAATTAATAACATACTGGAATGGAAGCACAATATTACTCTAGCTTGTGGATTTACACCCCTTACCCCCCTTTTCCGCATTTGAATGAACCAATCTTCCCCATCTTTGAGGATGTCCTTTATGAATGGCAACTAATGGAGTTATTAACTATTTCTAAACAGATAAATCTTTTAAATACATGAATTAAAAAAAATTTTCATGATGGGTTTAATTGATTATTAAGCTTAGAACGCACCCACAGAAAACATGTTATAATTCAGTGACAAAATCTCTTTCAGGTGTCAAGGTAAAGTACAGAAAGTGGAAAAGTCGGCTTTGGGAACAGTTTATGTTTGTACCCATGGAGCACCTAAACATAGTACTAAAGGCTGCAGAAGGACATATCTTTCTCAAAGAGATCTGCAGTCACATATTGCCCACAGACATGTCCCTAAACCATCCACCACCAGTAGCAAGCACCCACCCACTACCCAAGCTGTTCTGTCTGGTCCTGTGCAGTTACCACTGACCCAACAGCAAGCTGCCCAGCATGCCACCCAGAAGCAGGTTTCTCCCATTCAGTCTCACCTGCAGTCATCTAGCATCTCAGTACAAGGATCCCTTGTAACTTCTGTGGCTAATTTGTCCCATTCACAGACCTCCGCATTGGTTGCCAGTGGGCAGCAGATGAGCCCCATTCCACCGCTTATTCCTGGTTTAGGTGAGCTTCGTCCTGTAACCAACGTTTCCCCTGCTGTTTTGAGCCAAAGTTCACCAATGTCCCAACCAGCCCCAAGTCCTAACAGTCTCCAGCAAGCGATGGGTTTGTCCTATAATCCATCACCGCAAACCAACTCAGACATCTATCGACCTTTGGACATGGCAACTATGGGACAACAGCAGCAACATCAGCAGAGCTTAGGAATGACCAGTGTCCATCTCCAGTCTGTACAAAATATGCAGCAGTATTCTCAACCGCAGCAGTTTCCTGGGTCCACAGCTCTGTTGCCACAGATGGGCAATAATCAACAAATAGCTCCCACTATGCCCACACAGATGCATCCCATTACCCTCTCACACCAACATTCTTCTCTCTCAGCTTCTCAGAATTTAGACAGTTATAGCAAAGCTCAGAATATTCAAACCCCATTACAACAGACCCCACAGTCCCGTAATTTGATAACAGTACCTATACAGGATGAGGGTCAGTACAGACCTCAGCCGTATGTTCCATCCATGGTCAGTCAGACGGTCAATCCAAGTTATCCCCAGGCAAGACAGAACATGCCCACCCAGCCCCAAGGCTACACACAGCATCCCAACTCATTTGCTAGTCCTACAAATTTCCCTCACTTGGGTGGACAAGCTCAAAATATAGGGTGTGGTGTGCAAAATTTGGGTCATCCCCAAAGTCAAGGCCATCCACAGGGGATGGGAATTCAGGTACAAAATATGAGTCATTCTCAGGGCTTAGTAGGCCAAGCTCAAACTTTAGGTCACCCTCATAGCATTGGACCTCAGTCACAAAACTTAGGCAATCAGGCTCAAAATTTGGGTGGCCATGCTAAGGGTATTGGTGGTCATCCTCAAAATTTGAGTGGATCCACCCAGAATATGGGAGGCCAGGTTTCCAACATGGGTAGTCAGGGCCAAGGTATGGGGAATAGTCCTCAGGGTATGCAGTTCAATCCATCGAGTGGTATGCAGTCTGGCAGCCCTGGCATGATGCTAAACCAAAGACCAGGAAATGTCCATCCTAGAGCACTTATGGGGGCAGCTGCCATGGGACACTTTCCCCCACAACACTGGCAAAGTCCAAGAATCATTCAACCTCGAATGACTCAGGGTCAGCCAAGACCCAGACCAGACAACCAATTTAACCCAAACAATTTTTATAGTTAAACATAAAACTTTATTTGTTAAAACATTAAATTTTTTAAAATATTATTATATCTGTTTCAAATTTTGAACTAAATTTTTAGCCATCGATGTGGCATATTTAATTAGTGACTAATTTAATCTCTCAATTTACCAGCATAAAACTTTGCGCAGATTTAATTGATATTTATATATACATGTGATGATTGCAACATTTTTGTTAGTAAAATATATTCTGTAAAAGTATTCAGCCAAAATGAAACACTATAATTATCATGTTCGTTGTAACTATTAGCGTTTTAATTTTATCCCAACTTTTCAAACATCATTTTGTGAAACAATATTCTGTTAATACTGTTAACATTTATTAAAAGCTTTCATTTAATTGACTTAGTTGGTTTTGTTTTTTTGCCTGTCATTGACCTTTTTTATATCGTAGTGGCTATTCAGACCCGGGTCCGAGAAGTTAGAGGTTGAATACATATTTTCTGGCATTCGTCTGTCAAAATGTGACGATGGTGTAGGCTTCCTTTGCAGGATGAAATCACAAGGCCTGGGATTTTTCTTTAAGAAGATAAGCTGGTTCCCTAGGCAGCAAATCGCCTCTATCAATGCACCTGGATAACCCAAGGGCACATGTGGATGATACAGCTTGGAACCATTAGCGTCGCAGGAATATTCATTGTGTCATGTTATCCTACAGGACTCCTCTGGTTTGAATCAGAGTTTTCCTTCTCTTAGATGAGTTGCCGTCCAAGGTAAAGAGTCCTATTCACCCAGGGTGCTGGGGATGTTTTTGCTTGTCTAGGCTTTGGCGGGGATTGAACTCCAGACCACCAGGTGTTTGGAATGATTCAGTTAAGACCGCTCGAACACCCAGCATTAGCTTAACACCTTTAATAAATTAATAAAGATGTACCAGTACTCATGAGCAAGAAGAAAATTGTCAAATTATGATTTTTTAAAATATTTATTTATTTGTGACTGAAGTATTATTTTGTCAAAACTTTTCGCTGCCTTTGAGTGCTTGGTATTCAGGGATCTGAATTTTGTCTTGACTTAGGCGACAAATTTAATAAAGTGGATGGGACCTGGTAACCTTGGATGGTAACTCATCTAAGATTATAATTATGGTCTTGTCTTGCCAGTCAATCACAACCCATGGTTTGTTGATGGACTTCTGATCAAAATGAAGCCTTGTTTGGCTTAAATACTAAAGGCCCATGTCAATTAATCAATATTGCTCTTACACAAATTATTCTAATAATAATACAGAACAAAAAACATACAAATAAACAAAGAAACTAAACCCATTCCTTAATTGTTTTCAGTCATAAATATATTACCCAAATTTTACAAGGAAATTTCAGGGGTGGGGTGGTGTCTCATTTTTGATAACATGAACAATACACAGTTGTACATAATGTTTCTATGGAAAGTAGAAGTAATGCTTAGTTATATATATCCTTGAGTGCAAGTGATAACCATTCAAATTCAAGTTTTAATTTAAACTTTTTTTGATGTAAACAACATAGATTGAGGCCATGATTAGAGAGAAGTGAATTATTCAGTGAGCATGAGGAAAGAAAATGCATAGGAGCACCAGGTTCAATGACATCAATTTTGAAACAAAAATTGTCTTAATTAATTTACTTTCATGATAAATGATATTTCCTAAAAATTACACATCAGTTAATGTAAGGAGCATTTTTCTTGTATTTATATACCGGTACTATTAATTGTTTTACTTATATAACAGTATAAGTATAACATATATAAGAAGTATATCTTACATTAACATGAAAATAAAACCTAAAATTATGAAATACCCCGGTAATTCAAACACAGAATCAATTTGCTTTGTTGTCTGGGTAAGTAATTTAATTTGGCTAAATAACCTGTTTTGTGGAGCCAAACACTTCTCAGGGCCACCATAGCACTACCAACTTCTACTTACAGTAGCCTGCCATTTAATGTAGGTATTTTGAGGTCCACACTTCATATATAAAAGCATGCAATACCAATATTGAATAAAAAGAATTATTATTCCTCACTATATGAGTCATTTGAAAAAATGTTCACGATGAGCTGTAGCTGCTAATTGTTTTTGATCCATAAGAAGAGTAAATGTGTACAAGGAGTTGAGCTATCTAAACGTAGTGGTCAAGTGTAGTAATAGTATGGGGCAGGTGATGTAGGAGGGGAGGGCTTCAGCTAAAATAAACACAATTCATGCTCTAAAACAAAAAAATGTAAGTTTATAACGAGCACATAGTTTCTAGACAATCCCTGCCTGATATACCCTATCACATAGAAATTATTTTGCAAACACATTTTATCAACAAAATTAAACACACAGCAAGGGGTGAATATCGTACATAATTAAACAGAAAAGAGATATAGCTAAACCTCCCTACATTTTATTTAAAATGTGGTATGCACATATTAAAGATAGCCTACATTTAAATGTTAAGAAAAATACAACTGAAAATATTGGTGTTAAACTGGATTTCTTAAACAGCTTTAAGGCATCACCTGGTATATAACCAATTTATTCAATAATTTAAGAATTTGGGTAGTGCAAAGATGACAAAAATATGTTGGATTCCTTTTACAATAAATGCAAATGCTTTTCATACATAGATTTTTTTGAAAGTGCCATGAAGTAAACAGAATTAATTGACAAGTCATGTTCAAATATAACACAGACATTTGGCATTGGTTTACTATTTAATGATAAATTGGCTGCTATAAATGCATTAGGTCACCTCACATATCAGCTCAAAATAGACCGGCTCAACTTGCCCTCGTCCACTTGTAACTTATCACACGAGTTCAAATAATACATCATCCAACTCCCCAAGGTCATCGTCATCATAATCATCATCTCCACCATTTTCATCACTGCTTCCATCTGGGCTGAGTTCAACAATTTCCATGCCATTTTCTTCCATGTTATCATCTCCATCAGTGTCATCTAGAAAAGAAAAATACTTTTGAAAATTCATCATGTTTGTGTAAAGGGTAATGTAAAGATTAGATTTATTTTCCCTTCTCTACTCCAAAAGTACATTGTAAAGCCCTTATTCTTTTAGTGGAACACAACACAATACACAGTTCCTCACATTATAACCAAATTAGTTATCAGCTATTGCCATATAGTTGTGCGTCAATTATATCTCCTCTACTTTACATTAGTAGCAGACATTGCACCATTTCCTCTGATCCATCCAGATAGTTAAAAGGGTTAAAGATGAAAAAGGAATGCTAAACTTTTAAGCAAAAATGTGCTGAAAATATGTTCGGGGGGATACAAGTAAATGGGCTCAGAACAAACAACATCAATGCATTTGTAAAAAAATTACCCCAAGGTTAAAAATTGTGTGTAGCTGTAAGGTTTATAAATAAAAAGTCCTTTTAGATTGATGTGAAAATAAAAATAAAATTTATTGAACATGAACCAATACGCTGAAAATTCATGAATTTAAGAAATCAAGTATAGTAAAATATCAGTGAGAAAATGATTTGAATTGACCTTACCTTGATCTGAAGAGGCCTCTACAAATTCAACAACAGAGTCATCATCATCGGGATCAGCATCGTCATCATCATCATCATCTTCATCATCATAATCATCTTGATCATCATTCTGTGCATTGTCATCATCATCTTCCATCTGTTGTAAAAAAATTAGCATGATTATTAAGTTAACATCAGTTACTGAATTTAAAAAAACAAACCCAGGCATCATTTTAACAAATTTAGAAATTAAAGCAATTGCCATTTTAACTCCTTCAGAATATATAAAGTTTAAAAAATCAAACTTTAATTTTGACCCTGCTGTGAAATGAGGACAAAGAGAAAGTTGGGTAGCCAGTAGTAACAGAATTCACAATTTCATAAAAATCCATCTCTTGATATTTCTAAATTTGTAAGTTGGTGCCATCCACATTAATGTACATTTTAAAAAAATCAGTTTTCACACACCTTTCCGGGTTAAATCCCATATATTTTAGGCAACATTTGCTTACACAACCCATACAGATTGCTAGCCCCAAACCAACAACAAAAATATATATATATTTAAGGGTTCTTTAGTATCTAAAGTTTCTAAATCTTTAAAGTTTTACTTTAAAAAAAAAATATTTTAAAATTCGTTTGAGATCAGTGTGATTTGTAAAATTTAAATTTTAAAAATTGTTTCATGTTATCCCAGGTCAACAGGTCATTCAATTTAAGTAAATGTTTATTTTTAAAATATGTAAATCTATTCCATGCTTAAAAATTTAAAAAAACAAACATTTTGTGTAAAAAAAAAAAAAAAAAAAAAAAAAAATTTGTGTAAAAAAAAAAAAAAAAAAAAAAAGGTAAGTTTATAATAATTATGAACTTAAATTTTAATGAAGGGAAAAATAGTTTTTTAACAATGAACAAAATTACACCAGTGATATAGCTTTCATTAAGTAAATGACATAATGGATCATGCAACAGCAACATTACTAAAATATTTGCTTTCATTATTGTGCCAATTTGTCATATTTATTGCCCACTTTAAACATCCCCCTCTACCTATCATCTGACAGCTCAATACAAAGCTAAAAAAAATAAGCCCACCTGATCCTCTGGCTCTCTGTTCTTTCCAAGCTCATAAATACGACAGAATGCCTCCTCAGATTCAGTCTCATGTTGAGAAGTATTCTTTAACAGAAAAAATTTAACATTTCTTTAGCATTGTTTTTTCCAATTAAGCATGTGCAATTAATATCTTATCTTATTGTCTAATTTATTTTGATTAAAGACACTAAATAAACTATAAATCACAATTAGAGCAAAGAAAGAAGTTTTACTGAAGACAGCACAAAGCAGTTTTAAGTTGTGGTGTAAATTTAATTTAGTTTATAAAATATATCAACCTTTAGAATGAGAACAAAATAACTGACAAAACAGTAGCCCAATAACCTAAAAGAAGGAAGGCAACCCAAATATGCAAATAATGATAAACTTTAAATCTATTTTTGAAGGAAAAGAAAGATTGCTGAATAGCAGACCTGTTTACTCTTACGACTTTGGCGTACAATGTACGATTTTGAGGTTTATACATTATATATATTGTATGGTTTTTTTTACTATTAAGATAACCTATTGAACAATTTTGTGATGACATTGTACGATTGTAAGAGTTTGAGGGTAAGCAGGTCTGGAATAGCAACAACAATTGACTGAAAGTTCCAGTAAAAAAAATAATGATGTGGTTGATTGATGCTTTGAGAAGTCAAGTTCCAACGCTGCATTCCAAGTTATTCCCGATTCAGATTCTTTCTGTTAACTTTTAGTATGTAACAGTCATGGAAATCAAATGTCCAAAATGAACCTCCAGTATTTTAACAAAGCAAAGATTATTTTATAACATACCAATGATGCAATCACATTCATAGGATTAAGTATCCCTTAAGTTGTTTTTTTAAACAGATTTACTTGTCAGTGATTCACACAAAATGGACCAAGATGTGGGCAGTAGGTGAAAAAGGCAGTAACAATGGTGACCACTTCAAAGAGCATTAGTCACATTATTTTATTTATCATTCATAGATAGAAGTATATTTCCTCTTGTGTGATATTTTATCAATTGAAGACAGCTTTTAGCCAGAATGTTAACCACGTTCACTTATTTATATTAAACATTGAGCCTACATCTTTACACTCAATAATTTTTGCTTAAAACTGTGCGCTATTTTGCTTTGGGAATATATAATGCCATTTATCTGAACAACTAATAATCTTGTAAGTAACGAAGCAAAATGAAGTTAATTATGATAACACGTAGACACACTGTAAACAGGACAAAAACAAACCTCTATGACTCCTATAAGCAGATCATTCCTGTCTATGGCTACATCAAAAATACTGTTGGTTTTCAGATCAAAAGTACCTGAGACAGAAGAGGAGATAGAACAGTAATATTTAAGAACCGTATATAAAATAATACAACTATTCAAAACTGGTCTCTTTACAAAAACCAGACTTGGTAACAAAAGCAATTATTTATTCAATTAAACACATTGCAAGACTTAACTGGCACTATTAATCTAAACTTTAAAATATATCTGCTAAATGAACCATTTAAACTTGTAATAAAAATATATTATTGACTTTCTGGAGTATGTGAGGCATTCAAATGCCAACTGCGAGCTTAATTCAGTAATACTCAAAATATTTGGTTAAATTTAAAAGACCTCAATTTCCCTTTTTGAATTATTTATTTTTCATTGAAGCCTGGGGTGCCAATATACTTTTCTTTGAGGTTTACACCCCTGATGTACATGCAACAAACAGACACCAAAAATTTTGAAGAATATTATTTGTGCAGAATATTCTTGTTGGGAAATAACCATAGAATCCCCATTTACCTCTGTCTAAACCCTAAGTAGAAGTATTGTAGTTAGGTTTTGGATAAATGTGTCTGTAGATTTTAAGATAATAACTGATTGACACCTTCAAGTTGTGTAAATGAAATATAAGAACAAGGTATGCTAAACTTGAGTAAATAGACAGGACAAAAGATTTGGACCTTTCGGCTTAGGACTTAGGGCCTTCATCAGCAAACAAAACAAATAGAAGTAGAACAAGTAACAAAGCATAGTAAAAAAAACTTTGGAGGTCGTCTATGAAGTTGCCAGAAGTAGGATTACAGGAAGTGAAAGAATATAAATATTGGTACTGTGAAAAATAAGGTAGAGAATCTTAACATATCAAAATATTTAGGGATACTTAAACTCTAAGGAAAAAGGAAATAAAAAATACAGGGAAAGTGAGAGACATTAGTAGGAGAGTATTTGATTCATACCAAGTGGAGATATGGTGCCGAAAAGCTAAATAATTTTTTTTTCCATTTTAACTCTCTCTATAGTGTTATTGCAAGAAATAAGTGCCATAATGGATACACCCAATGCACCTTTATGTTGGTACCTTTAAGGCGGCTAATGTTTTTTTTTGAGTGTATAGGGACAAGTCCTACATCTGCTTACTGAGCATGGTTTAGTTCCAAAGTAAGACGGGTCAGCTTGAAGGCGACTATGAACCAGAAGGTGACCTATATTTTTGCCCTCTAAGCCAAAACGTCCAAATCTATTGTCCCGTCCATTTATTCAAGTTTAGCATACCTTGTTCTTATATTTATATTTCATTTAGATTTTAAAAATGTCATCTTGGAAATGTGATATACTTGAGTAAACTACCGGGCAGTTTTAATCTCATCCCAAAGTGAAAATGATTTTAGGATTATTCATATGACTATACTCACCAATATTACTATAATCAATAGCATCAAATGATCTAAGTGTGGAAGCGTAATCTCTCCTTAAGTCGTTGGTACCAAAGTTTTCATCATCTACTCTTACAGCTGAGCAGGAGAAACAAAAATAGAGAATCCTTGCAGTAATGTTTTATACATGCAAAGAACTTTGACCTATCATCAACATTTAGTTTCAACAAGTGGTTGTTTCACCCGTCTACAAAATATTTTTTTTCAAATCATTGCTTATATAATAGTTTTTAAATGATCCTTCAGTTGAGTCATTAAGTGTTCCAGCTGCTGCTTAAGTAAACAAATCATGAATTGAAGCAGATTTGTGGCATGCTACATTGACCTTATAATGGGCAGGGTGTTACAATAAACCTACCATAAATAACATCTCCGTTGTGATTAAACATGATCTGACACTGGTCTAGAGCTGGGACAGTGTGTAGAAGGCGGAATGTTCTGATGTCCCACTGAACAAGAGTTAAGGGTGAATAAATAACATCTAATATTTCTCAAACAAGGTATTATCTATAACCTAAACACAACTCTATCTTGTATTCTTCACAACAAAATAAAATTATTTATTTTCTGTGTACATATAAAAAATTAGATTTCTGAGTAGGAATAGATGTGTATGAAAATGATCTAACAAAAATCATCCAAATACTGAAACATCATCTAAACAATATAGAGATATTCCCCTTTTCCCGACTAAAAAGGAATAGTAAGGATTTTGATGGGAGACTGCACTAAGTATAGAGAGAACAAAAATCATAACATATGAATTTTGTAAATAATTACTTAATAAATGTATTACATTTATGGCGAATAATTGGTGAGCAAAAGAGAAGATAAGGATACAATTTCAGAGTTGATGACAACCTCCAGACCCCTGGGGTGGAAACAACCACTAGTGTACTGGTTGAACTTGTCAAACTTGTAAATCATCTTGCCAGAACGAACATCCCAAAGATTGCCATCATTCAGGACAAGATCATCTGTGGGGTTAAATGTGGCTTCATTGTATTTGTAATTGTTGGCCTTGTTCTCATCATAAAATGATTGCACAATAGACCCAGTGCTTGTGTCATAGATCTGAAACAGAACATCAGGTTTGTTGTTAAGATAATTTAACAATTAATTTTGCAAGAACGCTTTCAGATCATTAATTCATTGCTTTGATTTAGAATGAACAAAACAAACTTAAAAGCTCTTCATGAAAACTAAATGTAAATGAAAATAAAATTATTTTAAAAAAAGGCTATACTTCAACAATAAATTCATAAAATTTCAAGAAATAAGCACAAAGTGACATTGTACCCTTGCTATCATTTCTTTAGTCCCAATAAAACGATCAGCACTCTGATTAGCTAGGTTAGCTGTGTGTTCATCAAATCTGTATCTAGATTGTAATAATAATAAAGATTTTTAAAAAAAAGAAACAACTATAAAAAAATAATAAATTCATAAATAGTATAAAATATACAAATGATTTAACAATTGTTCAACAAAAACAAAACTTAGCAGCATGTATAAATAGCTTAGAGTAAGAAATTATATTTGACCTTTCCTTCAAAAAGAAGTGTATTTTATTCCTTTTAATGACTTACTTCAGTGAGACGTCAGGATTGTTACGACTAAATCCCCACAATGCACAATTTTGTGATGCTCCCCATGTGCTAGTGAACAGAAGATCTGGGTTCTTAAAAAAATCAAGAAAAAGTTAGAAAATGAAATAAACCAAACTTAAATTCTGTTAAATGATGTACATTAAATTTTTTTTTAAAATTGTATAACAATTAATCATGTGTTTTGGATTTTTTATGACAGCATTGCTATATGTAAGAATATCTTTCATTTCATATATTTAATGAACAGATTGCACAAAGGTTTTTATCAAACCAATAGATCTATTAAAAGACGTTTTAAACATACCACTTTAGAGGTACTGACGTGAATAATTGGTGAAGAATGACACACTGTGCTATAGAAGTCAGTCTAAGGACAAGAAAATAAATACATTTTAGATGTTTTATATTTAATTCACAAATTATAACAAGAAGATACACATTACTTAATAATATTGCTCCCACATTGCTTAGATAATCCAGTTTTCCAGAACTTTTCTATTTAACCTAGTAAACTGATTTATAATAATGCTTACTCCACTGGAGCCAATATTCATCACCCTCAGATCTCCAGAAAAGGAACCAATAAATATATTATCAGCAGCACACTGTTAATGAACAATATAGAGATTGAGATATATTGTGTAATCATGTTTTTAACATAGATAAAATCACATTAAATTAACTTTAAAATAAAAAAATATTGAGGAAGGATGGCCTTTATTATATTTATGAAAGAGGAATAATACATTACGACAGAGTAAGGTGGATGATCTATATTATGATAAAGTTAGATGAAGGAGAATACGACTCAATTGCTAAATTCAATGTAAAACTTTACACACATTTTTACTTAAATTTGCTATTCTAATCTTTAAAAAATTAAATAAGTCTTTTTACAAACTTGTTTCTTCTTAAAGATCTCCAAGAGCATAATAATCAATGAACTATTTAACAATAATTACTAATAAATAAAATGAACATTTTGTTTACATCAAATGCGCAACATGCCAGTCCATCTCCAGTGCCATCTCTAAAACTTGTTAAGGGGCAAAGTCTAAACAAAACAAGAAAGTAAAATCTATGAGACAAGTAAAATGTTCAATAATTACCACAGGTTTTTGAGTTAAGATATAACATTATTCTTTCTTTCCGGTTAGTCTGTGAATTTTTTAAGGGTCCTATTTTAAGACTGAATTTATTTTTTACAAATATTTCTAATAAATTGCTTAAACAGTTAAAGTAACAAGCAGTTGAGAGGTATGTGATTTTTAGGCACTTGGAACTACTAATGCAATTCTGACTTGAATATAGCAAATAGTACCAGAAATTAACAGAAAATATAAGGAACTATTTACTTGCTGTGGATAAATCTTCTGTCTAAGAACTGGCCTTTTGGACCACCATATGGTGGCTTGATCTAAAACAAAAATGTGACATTTAACAATGTAATCTACTTCATTAACAAAATTCTTTTTGTTTAAATCTAAATAGCTTATCTAATTTTAATAATCTGAATTCAAATCATGTACATTGTAATAATGCATACATTGACATACTATAATTATCTAAAACATTGTCAATTTATTCTTTTGATCATTTAGTCTAATGATGCCATCTTCAATAAGATTAAATACTGTCATTCTAAAATGCCAATCTAACACAATGTTTCAAAAGATACTCTAATCAAGTTATTGCACTTAGAAAGCATGTCAATACAATTAAATATTCAAATAAAGATTCGCCAAATAGTGTGATGCAAGTTGTAACAAAATGTCCAGCCTTACCTGTCTGTCATATAGCCTTGACGGGATAGAAAATGCTGCACTAGTTTTACCTAGGGGCTCTGGGCATCTATGGGGCCTATAGAAATAACAGAGTACTTCATTTTATTTTTTCATGCGAGTGTAACTTTCAGCAGTAAAATAATGTCTCTGTGTTGTCTGACTTTCAATAAATCATTAACCCTATAATGGCCAAGTGCATTTTTCTGTAGTGTCAAGCAATTTTTAGCATTTTCATATGCTTGTCAAAAATGACAAAATCCCATTCTAAATGAACTAAGAGACCATTACAAGTACACATTTTCTGAAAGTACATTAGACAAGGTGTCTAACAGAATGAACATATTTTTAAAAAAATATTAAGTATGATGATTTTGACCTTCACCTCTACAGAGTGAGTCAAATTTTACTACTCAACTTCTGATTTCAACCCAACCTAATGCTCCATAAATTGTTCAAACCATTATAAAATCAAGTTTTTGAGACACTAGAAGCAAAATTCTTTCATAAAATGTCAATTTATAGGTACTTATATTGAAAATTGTAATATTGGTGAATTTTTTCATTCACTACCTTCAAATTTCTGTCATACAAAATATTAAGGGAGCATGAAAGTTCAAAAATTCCCCTTTAAATTAATTTATTTCATCCATTTTTATTAATTAATACTCCAAAAGGTAAACATAACTGTCTTTAACTTTCTTTAGGGTAAGTCTTTGGGATTCAATCTTTGTCTCTGTGTTTGATTTCCACCTTTCCCAAATGAATTTGTAACATTATGACTAAGCTTAGGGTAAAACTGTCAATATCTAACTCTTATGTCGCCATCACAGCTAGAGATAATACAATCATTAGCAAGTGGAAATCTCTGAAATAATTGCTTTCATTTTAAACAATTCCAAATGTGTTAATATTTCAATCTCCAGCATCAGACATTATGGCTGTATAATAAAAATTGAGCAATACCACACCCAATTAACCACACAAAAAAAAGCCCTGATAAAAGCATGTTAACACAAAAATAGAAACGTTAATAGGAAGCAAACTCATTTATACAGAGTGATTTCCCCATAACCAATATAAAATAAATAATTCATATTTGTAATGATGATTTTGCTAGCGGCCGTTTATATCAGCCGTGACACCACAGAAAGGGTTTAACGACCAATGATCGGCCGTTATGACAGTTATAGGTCAATATTAAATGATAATTATTGCACTTAGAATTAATGGCAAATATCACAGAGATTATATTCCAGGTATTTTTAAATATAAATTGTTAAGTTAAAATATTCATGAGTGCTTCAAGTGAAATGTAACTCTAATAAACCATTCCAATTTAACAATAAGCCAACTTACATAAAAAGAGACATAGTGGGACAAGTAGAGATGGGCTGAGGACACAGAGCATGCTGTTTTCTTAAATACTCTGTGACAATTTTATCCAGAGACACATTGTAATCACCAGTATGCTTGCCTTTCAACCTCCCAGAGTTTCCAGGAGGAACATAGCCTTCACGTTCCTTTAAAAATCTGCGCTTTGTCTGAGTGAAGGAAGGAAAGAGATCATCACTAATTATTACAAATTAACAGAAAGGTCTTAATAATTGATGCACTCATTTCTTTTAGTAATTCATAAAACTCATTTGAACTGCTCCAAGTGTACAAATAACATTTGTTAGCTTTTTCACATATCAAAATTAACATGAAAAAAATAAACTTTAAATAAGATTTAAAGACCTAGATACTTGAACAGATAAACTAATGATGAAAACAACTGAACCAGCTATGAGGTATATTTTTTAAAACTTTGTAAAAATGTTTATAAATTGCCAGGATGGCTACTCTTAGATAATATGACATACACTCACTTTTGTATGTGGAGTCAGCTGATGTGAAGCTGGGGTTTTACTGAGGGTAAACTTGATAGGACCTGGTGTGACTGGAGCAGGTGTGGCTGCAATGGAGGCCTGGCTTCTCAGAGCCGAAGAGGGGCCTGCTACAGGAGTAAGGGCTGAAAAGTGTTTAATAATATTTTTATTAAAAAAAACGCTTAATACATTGGACACTAATTAAAATGATAATATTAATTTGAATAAATATTTATGTTAAATGGTTAAATACATTATTCTGACCTTTCTCACCAGATATTGATGTAGATATTGGCGTTGAGGTATTCGAAAATATTTCTCTATTGGTCTGACAAGCAACATTGGTGTTTGTAGGAGGATGGCTGAGTTGCCTGCCCTGAAAAACAAGAAATACAAAGTTAGAGGTTCACATTGGTATTCATCACAACTGTAAATATTGACTAATATGTTCATTTTTAACCATAAAGAAGTAGCAGGCAGAAAATAAAACTCACATAATCATAGTAAAATGAAGATTTATTACAGACAGAGCAGAACAGTAAATAATTCCTTCATAAGGACTACATCTCATAGTGTTCATTTTAATCTTAAATATCTTTCTTAACAACACTCTTCCCAGCACTCAAGTAAGCACAGATATATTGGGAACTACAGTTGTTAATTGAACTTCAGCTTACAATTTTAGGTGTGTTAGGTGAATAAAGGTGTAAAGTATTGGCATGGTGAGGAGGTGGTGTGGAACATCTGGGAAGGTTTGCTTCCTTCTGTAATACTGCTGCAGTTTCAAACAGACCTGAAAAGACATTCACAAATGAAATAAAAAGAGATTCACAAATGAAATTGCACTATCTCTTTACCATCCTCATATATGAAAGATACATTTTATTATGCTGTTTATTTTCCTCTTGTGGCTTTAAAACTTTTATAGTGTCCAATTGGTAAAATATCTGAACAAGTATAAGATTTTCATAATTTTTTATGGGAAGGTGCTGTTAATGATATATTCATCTTTTCAACCATGAAATCTGATGCTTTTTGTTTGCCATAAATACAATTTTATAGTAATATTATTTAATAAGTTATTTTAAAATAATTTTCCAGCTATGGAAATACAAGTGAAGCATTTTCTTTAAAAACAAAAACATTTCATTTTCTGAAATCTAACAGTAGCAAATCTAACAAAAATTAATTTTTTGTATTAAGGCTAAATTTAAATGATTTGAGTGATGTTGGCCCACCAGTTCCCCCCTTTGTAGCTTTTCCACGCAGAAAACCATGAATTAATAAGGATTTAATGTAAACAAGGGATACAATTGTTTATTTACACCCAAAACATATTTTAGTGTTTCACCTTAAATTTAGTAACCACTTTTGTGAACTGTGCCAACATAAAATACCAAACCATGGGAACTACTAAACATTCCCTAAAAACTGCTTGGTTTTCATGTTACAGTGGATGATAAGTTTAAAGATTTTATAATCCCAGTATGCATAAATATTAGTCTACATCAACAGTGTATTATAGAATTATGGCTATTAACTTTAAGCACACAAGAAAATAGCCTATTTATACAGATTATAATTTTCTTAAGTTTCCTATCTAGCAACATAAGATAATGAGGACTAACATTATAAATATACGTGTGGCTTTGGTCTTTTACTTTAAGGAATATCTGAAAGGCTTTTAATATACCTGATCACTAACATTCCGGTTGAATTTATTGAAGAATTAATCTGAGCATTTGCATGTGCTCAACAGAAAAATTGTAAATGTCTTCAATGTAATTAAATTAAAAGACAAGAGCTTCCTGAATACACAGATTTAAATAAATTGTGATCTATGCACTTAATTTGAATTGCTAAACAATATGATATCAAACATGTGGCTGGTATGAAAAGTATGTTTTAATAGCCAAAGGACACTACAAAAATCAATATTGTTCCTGTATATTAAAAAATGGAAGAATCTATATTTGTTTCTCCTTTCTTTTATGCTTGATGAAAAATAAATTTCCAGAAAAAACTCTATTATGCTGCTCACAAAAGTAATTAACATACATCTTCAAAAACAGATATATTTATCTTATCTCCATCCATTTCCTTATAAATTTATGAAATCAAATCATGTACTTTAGAGCTAGCTCATAACAGTTGTTTGCTATGTGAGGTCTTACAAAAATCACAAGAAAAAAAGGTGTAAAATTATGTATTGTATTATGAAAAAGTATACGAAAAGGATTATAAAATGTTCATGGATTTAAATTCACATTTAAATAAACATGTATATCAAGGATTAGCTGTCTCTGTGCCATTTTTAGATTAATAAAACATCAACAAAATTAAATTCTAGAAATACAAATGTACCTTTTGAAGACAAATGCTCATGGATAAGCTGTAGCAATTCTTTTTCCTGATAAACAATTTTTGTTTGAGCAACAACACCAGCCTGTAAAATAAATGAACAGCATTATAATCTTAAAAATGAATGTTCCTTTCCCTTTCATTTCAAATTACTATTTTTTAAAAAGTAAATAAATAAATCAGCTGCTAACGTCAAGTTACCTTGCGAATTTCTTCAAGTGTGGAAGCACCCAAGACATTGGCCTGTCTTCCTGCAATTTTCTCCAAAAGAGTGGATGCATATTTGCAAAACATATGATGAATGTGACGCCTGTCTGATAGGATTGGTTCTTTCATTAAACCTGAAAAAATGCACCATTTGGGCAACAGGTATGTGAGAGTTGTTGAATTATTAAATCAGAGTTTAAAGCTTATCAATCATTTTTTTAAAATAAGCAGAAATTAGTTATTGCTCTAATATTAACAGCAAGATGTTCAGATTTGTATATTTTACATTAAATTAATAAATTAAAAATTAAATATAAAAAAAATTGAAAACCTTTCTAGTTAAGGGAACACTTATTTTTGTTAACCTTGTTGTACAGCTATCTGATCTATAAAAAAAAAAGTTGATATCTTACTTTGTAAATGTCCATTGTTGAGTGGAGGCAGTTTGCCAACAATCTGTCTGATGGTCTCTGACCTGGCCATCCCAACCAAAGCTTTGCATGCAAGCATCCTCATTTGATCTGCATCAATCAAAGGGGTTTTCACATTCAGGGTTTTCAGCAACACCTGTCAATCAGAGAAGGAGCACAACATGGCAGGTTGTAACATAAAGAAATGTGTTACATTTAACTAATATGTAATCAGTTTTTATATTATTTTAATACAGAATAACATTATTTAACATCTCAGAATAAGAATGGGAACTAAGATAATCATGAATGCCTTTGTAGGGATATAATATCACTAATAACTCAGTGCTTCTCAAACCACTGGAACATGGACCACTTTAATAAATGTTGCCATTTACTTTAGACCAACGGCTTTAGTTGTAATATCTGTCGCTCTGTTCAATTCCTGTGTACAACGGGGGGGAAGGGACGCCGGGCCAGGCGAGGAGATGGTGTGTGTGTGTTCTCGGGAGTGGCATTTCATGGGGTGCAAGGAAATGTGATTAAAAGAACAGAGGACTCATTGAATTTTAGGTAATAAATGTTAAATTTTTATTATTTCTTCATTAACATTTTACTTTAATGATAAACAATGATAAAGTTCATTTCAAAAACAGGCTTCAACCCTAATTTAAGGCTCGAAGCGAGGTACAAAGTACTTTATGTAACAAGTCCCAAGTTTATTTTATAAGTGCTACATTTCAATTTAAAATTTGTTTTCTTCTTCCAAATTTCAAGTGCATAGTTACTTTTGTAGAATTGTGAGACTTACTCTAACAATTTTAAAGGGGTGAGAAACTTAGTCAAAAAATTTGTACGAGGTGCAAGACTTAGTCAAACAGTATGGTGTGCTGAACATATAAAAAGTTTGGAAACCCTGATCTCGAGCTATGTAATGTACCACAGTTCAAGAATAGCTTAATAACTTACACATCTGTATGTATATAGATATAGTCACTTACACTTTTGTATGGATATAGACACTATCACTTACACTTCAGTGTGGATATGAGCACTATGACTTACACTTATGTATGGATATAAACATCATCACTTATATTACAAGCTTTTAAAATTTACAGTTAGTTTTCATTAAAGCTCCTTATTTTATTTTCAAATAGATGCCCTTTGAAAATTCAATCTCAAAGAGATATGCAGAAACAAATGGGAGTATTATGATAATTAACACCAATTAAAAATGAAGATGGCTTTCAAATAATTATTTGTTATCTGTTTCAATCAGTGACTCCTGTCAGATAGCAAAAGTTAAAATTTCAAATGAGCATAAACATATTCAAAATATTTACTATCAATATTTCAATGTCAACAAGATGAGAGAAGCTTACCATTATGCCATTGTTTGTACGAACATTATGCCACATCCAGGATAGCATGTCTTCATCAGTATGTGATTTCTTACGATTGCCATGATATCGGACCACACCACTTCCAAACTGAGAAGCAATTCAAAGTTAATTTTTTAAATTACTTATTAATGATCATTTTCACAAACAAATAGTTTCTTTCTTCAACAGTCATAATAAGAATTTCAAAATGACAAGAGTAAATGACTTTAAATTAAATCAATATTTTAAGCATGGGGTTTCAAATTAAGACTAAGGAAGACTAGTTAAATTGATGAAAATATTATATTTACCCTTTCTACCGGTCCACTAACACAGTTGATGATCACTCGTAATGCCGCTTTAATAATCTCTGAGTCATTGATGACTTCACCCTCAACTAAGCCTACCATAACACTGGCAATAATACAGACATTATCAGGAAAGAAAGAAAAAAACAACAACAAAAAAACAAATGAACAATGATACATTTGTCAAACTCTACATAAAAACTGAGCCTTCAACAAACAATGAAACATACTTTTCACCATCCTATTTATGTAAGCTAGTTGAATCAGAAATAAATATTCAAAACTTTAAAAAAACTCAGGACCCAGCCCCTCTCTCTTAAATTTATATATAAAATTATTTGGTGAGAAAGCTTTTTAAACAAAATTGGCCAATCAATTGAAAGAATTATCATCACAACATTAACTCTAACCAAACATTTCAAATGTATTTTTATATTTTCTAGACAATTATTATATACAATGATTTGAATAAGTAAAAATCACCTCATAATTGGGGAGGTTAGGTTATCAGGTAAATCCACATTTCCACAAAGCAGGACTTGTGTTCTGTGTGATACAGCACACATTGCCAGTACATCTAGAGCTGCCACAATAGTCTCCGTTCTGAAAAGGTTTAAGTTTTTTTTATTATTTGTAGTTTGGAAATAAATTATTCCAAAACATTATGAATGATTGACCACCTTAAGGACTTATAAAAGAAATCAACTACAAAAAAACAGATTAATGAAAATAAATTTAAACAGTAAATATCAGTCATATTTTAAATTGATTTTGAATTATTCTAACTTGGCTCCATTTGATTTTAAAAAATTTTTTTAATTCAATTAATGAAAGTTAAAATTCAGATTTATTATTTTTAAGTAATGGTAAGCTAAAATGAAATCAAAATTGTATAATGAAGTACATTCAAAATTTTGTTCCCTTGCATCAAAATCGTTACAACTTTCATAAATATGGCGTTTATATAAACTAGTTCAAATTGCATTACATACTTTCCTTGATAGGCATCCCACTCAGGTGACATGGCCACAAGTTGACAGAGAAGTGTAATACCTCCAAGTTTGATGATATTTATCTCAGGGACCCAATTAGATTTCGGAGGCAAATATTCAAGCAGGATATCCATATTTTCTTCCATTGTATACTTACAACCTTTCACCGACTGTAAATTGATTACAATACTAAATTATACATTATTCTTATATGTCTGAGTTTTAAACAAATTAAAAATTTAACTCATTAAATTTAAAATTTGTCATTAGCTGTGTGTTTTCTCTAGGTAAATGTAAATACCTTGCTTTCTTTTAAAGAAGAACTACTGCCCTCATGATGATGAAGGCTCCGAAGATCATCTGCTTTAAGCGTAGTGTGTACTTCGAAATACTTTCGTAATGCATCACAAACCAGCCGTGCTGCTTGCCGCATTTGATGCAACTCATCATCAGTTTCATTGCCTTGACTTTCTGCATTCAAAATGCTCAACGTGCTTATCTAATAAAAGGATTAAAGAATACTTTGAAAATGAAACAATGCTATAATATATTATATCATTTTTATGTTCATAACATGGATTCAAAGGAAAGATGGACATGTAATTTGTACACTCACTGTGTTACATGTTGTGTGAATAGACTGACTGGCTGTGTGATGTGAATATGATATAAACAAAAATGTATTATATCTAAACCAAAAAAAAAATTACTGACTGGAATCTACAGAAACGGTAATCATAGTTACAAGATACTGAACAGCAAACTTACAACATTTATAAGTCGCCGGAGTCCATCTTTTTGATCAAAAAGATTAAGAATAACTTTGTAAGGGAATGACTGTGAGAAAAACAGACAGGCATGACACCGGCTTGAATCGTGTGAGCATTCCATTAGCCATAGGTTATAGCTGTAAAGTAGTAGCAAAAGGTTATAGCAGTTCAATTTTACTTTTTTCTTAATACCATGAATTATTTTTTTTTAAATTTAAACAAAGCTATTTTATACTAGAAAAAGAAAAAGCCCTTATTAAAAGTTATAATATGATTTATGCAAAGAAAAATTGTATTATTATCTAATTAATTAGTTTTAACCCTCTTGAGACAGAGACTTTTTGGGCTGTCTGTGCCAAAAAGACGGACCCCTTTTCACAAGCTCTGCAATTACTAATTACTTTACAAATATAAAACTATATATCTTCTTGTAGAGAATAAAATAAACTAATTCTTTATGAATCTAACTGAAATCTCTAAATTTGTGCAAATGAGATAGCCTGATTTGCATAATTTATGTATGCAATTTCTTTTTTACACTTAGAATAAAATTGTCTTACTTGCAGAATTTTAAAAAAATGTATGATTGTTTAAGTCTAAATAAGTCTTTACCCATATTTGAATGACAATCCATATGAAAAATAGCATAAATATTTTCCATGGGCTTTTATGCATCTCGGCATAATTCAAAGTCTCTTATTTTTTTAAGCATTTGCAGGGGTCACTAGGTACAAAAAAATATTGATATAAAATGACAGAACACCGTACAATATCAATGGAAGCCACCATTAGCTGGTAGGAAGAATTGCCAGCCAATCTCCAGGCTTTTGTTATTGGGCCAATAGATTGGCCTTTTGTCTATCAAACCATAATACTCTGGGCTGATAGATCACCCCAGCGGTCTCAAGTGGGTTGATAAACAGATATTATACTATCTTTTAACCATGCGGAAATTAAAGTAAATGTATATTTAAAATGACCAATAAGGGGCATTTAAACAAATTAATATTTAAATGCCTATTGTAAACTTACGAAACAACATCTGAAAGTACACTCTCAGGAAGCATGCACATCTGAAAATACAATATCAATGCATTAAATTTCAAATTTAATTACAATAACTCAGCATATCAATATGTAATAAATCTCTTCAACAGAAGAAATTGTGCTCTGTCTGTATTTCAAGTTATCAATTATTTTAAAATCATTCTATTTAAATCATGTGATTATATTTACAGACTTGTTCTTTGCTACAATTCATTATTTTATAATTATATCATGATTTCATCTAGATGTTACTATACATTCATCTGCATTACAATAACCAGATAACCTTATGTACCACTTAATTAAATTCTGTTTCTTGAATCTCACCCTTTCAGTTGCATCCTCAAAATATGTGATGTAGTAAAAACAAAGTGAGACACCGGTGGCTGCAATGGAAGGTCTATGTATCTCTAGTAACTTCTGAACCCCACCTTTTGTAATGAATTCAGCTGCAAATTTCTTATGGCACAATATGACAGATAAAAACTGTAGAAAGAAAAATGAATGTAATAATACATTTAACTATATTTTATCAAGATTCAGTATAAAAAGTTGTAAAAAAATAAAATGCTAATTACAACTATTTATGAAAAATACATTAAATTCTTGAAGTATTATTGGGAAATATTAATAACTTACTCTCAGTGCATCAAATGCAAGCCTAATGTCTTTGTTTTCAGAAAGGTTGATGTAGTGAAAGATTAGACTCATGGCATTGTGTTCAAGGATAGGACTCAGGAGCTGAGGAAATAGATAAGTGCAAGTGACAAAGTCATCTCATTAGTTTGCACACAAACATAGCTTAAAATATTCATTGTTTTAACTTAACAAAATTATTCAGTTTAAATAATTATTAGTAAACGAAAATATTGATGATACAATTATTTATCTACTGGAACAAATATGGCGTAAATTACATATAGGATTATTGATGCAAAGCTACCCACACATGGTAAGGTAAAATATGCATATTTAAAAACAGACTTCTTGTATAGCACAAATAATCATTCCATTACGGCTTACCTCATGATAGTCCCCTAGAGGAGTAAGGTATTGCAATATCAGACGTTGCTTCATTGATGAAGTCAGGGGTGAGAGAGAGTATGAACCTATTACTAATGGTCTCATCTCAGCCCAACTGCTATTACTGTGCTCACCATCAAAATCTGACAAAAAAATTGCACTTAACAATCAAGTGATGTAAAATAGAAATAAAATGTCATTAAAAGTTTTGTCATTAAAGAAACGTATGCTGAAGAAATAAACATGAAAATACTACTCAAAAGATACAAAATTAAAGTCAACATAAATATATAAGGAAAAATTCAAAATTTTTTTATTTCCAATGAGTACTGAAGAAAATGTAAAAAACGTATACTCACAACTCGATCCTTCTGAATTGGTCCTCAACTTCTTGAAAGGATATAATTCTCCTCTGCTGTGACTGGGAGATAAAGCCCTTTTCAAGTTACCTCTGTAGTCACCTTTTTCCATAGAAGGTGGAGTAGATGCACCTAAAAAAGTTTTTATAATCTGACATTATGGTTTAATGCTCTCATTCAAATATATCTTTGACAAAAGTTTATTAAATGAGAATTTAATAAAATTTAAATTGATGTGTAAAAATGAGAACACAAGGTGATACTGATATGCTCACAAAATTTGCAAACTTAAGAAAACCTAAGTTTTAAAAAGCCCATAGTGATAATAATTTAATGATGATGATATAATTGACAAACCTTTGTGAGGTGAGTTAGTCCCATCAAACAAAAGTGAGAAATAACCATTGGAGCTATCAGACACAAGGGAGAAATGACGTTTCCCAAAATCTTTGTTTTCCCCATCTCCACCTCCAGAGTCAGCACTAGGTTCCCCTCCAGCTTGCTCTTTTTCTTCTTTCTCTTGTTTGATAAGATCATGAAGTCTGTCCAGCATTATTGGAACCTATATGGATAAACAGAAGTCCAAAATAATAAATTTATCTACATCATCTATCAGAAATTCACTGTGTATAATTTTTGGTCGGCCTAACTTTATTAGCATTTTGAAGACAGAAAAACATTTATGGTGGCAAAAAAATTCACAAATTTGGTCTAAAAACTATGTTTTATGACTATTTTATGCTTGCATACCAAATGTAGACTTTCTTCTCTGAATTTCACAGCAACATCGTTCAACTCCATGGCTCCACTTAACAATCCTGTGGCATATGATTTTAGTGGCTCATCAGAAAACTCTGCCCAGTGACACAATCTTTCAACTACACCTTCCTAAAAAGAAGAAAATGCAAGTTAAAATCAGTAAGGAGCCATCCATAAATTACATATGTTTTTTGCTAGGTGAGTATCGGCAGAAGGTACATAAATTTATGCAATAATTATCCTGAAATTTTGGTAAGTCTCTAGCATCCCTTATAGAGCCAACTGTTGAAAAAAATCTGTGAAATCCATGATTTATAATTATTTTCAAAAAGGCTCTAAACTTTCACTAAGAATATGACAATGTTACAGTATTATCGTCATAATGTTGCTCTATGTTTTTACACATAATTCACTAGATATCACAACAGTAATAATTAGCCTAGTGACTACTTCTAGTTGACCAAGCATGTGACCTAATTTTGGACATGATTATTTTATTTGGCTAAACCAAACAGCTGCTAGATAAAAGAAAAAAAGGTGGGATGGGGAGCTGAACCATAACAAAACACACATTAAAGCAATGCTCCTGAAAAAACTTTTTCCCATGCGGGGGCCTGTGTGAGCAAAAACTTTTGCAAAAAAGCTGCCAACCCCCCCCCCAAAAACTGCAGTTTGCTAAAAATGCTGCATTTGAATATAAATATAAAGAAAAAAGTGCCACCTATGGTGGACTACCCCCCCCCCCACACCCCAAACCCATTTCTTACACCTCTGTATCAGTGATATGTCCTCCTTTAATCTTCATATTTCATCCCTGTGGGTTGAACGCCACAAGTTAGAGATCACTGGTTTTCAGTGACTTGAATTTAAATGTCTTGTATGTCACAATAGTTGATAAATACATTTTTAACATTTTTCTGGGCATAAAGAACAAACAATAATTAATGGGGGTGGGAGCTCATTGTATGTAGGCATAGATAATAACTACAAAAGTATGGGTGCAACAGGGGGAACTAAATTTTTATTTTATTTTGGCGCTTAAAAATATAAGTGATAGAATTTTTTTTAAATTTAAAAACACAAAAACTCAAATCAGTTCTACTTTCAAAGGCATTGCTTAATGACATTGTTTAACATTATTTTTAACAATTATTGACAGTCCTGTCGTGGTAGCCTCCTAGGATGCAGGAGTAATCAAACATTTTATTTTCTATGACCACAGTAGGAAAAATGTTTTTATTAAATTGTTACCGTTTCTCTAAAGGGCACACTCGTTTCCAGGCCGGGCAAGAGATCTAACAGAACTCGACAAGCAGCTGTAAAAAGAGTACCACCATCTTCATAATGACCCCTGAGAATGTATGTGCCTACAATCTGAAAAATAATCAAATTGTCTTTAAAACTCTGGCTACGTGGTTAAAAAAAAATAAATTCAGGTGAACTTAATTTATACCATAACTGAGATGCCTTCCAATTTCACTTACTGTGTTCATAAAATCATCATTCTTGAAGATCATTTTCATCATTTGTCCAAGTCCACAGGTTGCAATCTGACGACCTGATGACATTAAACAATTAAAATGTAATTCCAAGTAAATGTATATCTTGGTCGTAAACTGAAACAGGTAATAGTTGACTTAATTCACATGCAATAAATATCATAATCTATACCCAATGGATCTCAAGTTTGAAAAAAATAAATAAATGCTGTAAAAAAAAAAATAAAGCTCTTCATCAAACACTAAAAACTGTACATTAAGGATACTCAGAAACAGTTTGATGTTAGATTATACATTTGTTTGTCAATTTCAGAGAAGTTATACCTGGTGGTCTGTCATCAAGAGGGTCTGGGTCCATTTTATAAAATTCTTCTGTTTCAAGTTCCAGCAGTTCCGCCAGCCTTATAATGACAAAATATAGCTATGGTGTCATATATTATTTGATCTTACTACAATTGAAATTACATTAAAATTCTTGCCTGATAAAATTAAATTTAGTACATCATTATTTTTTGCCCATTTCAATGCAGTTTTCTACCAAGCAAATGACAAGCCCGTAAGTCCTATTCACTAAAAATAAATAAATCATGATGTTAACTTATACAAGCATTAAAAGAAGCTGACATTTCTGTCAAAGTATTATTAAGTTAAATGATTAAATTGTTTTAGACTGTCTTACTTATTAAGACAGGGTATTGGATCATATAACCCTGTGCTACTGGATCTGTTATTCCATTCATCTAAAGCTGCCTGAAACTTAGCCAAGTTATCTGGAACAGTTGGCTGATTGGCCATTTGGCTGGTCGATTCTTGTTTACTGTCCGCCAGTTTGATTACTGCAATAAACAAATTAAAGATTTGAGGGGGTAAGGTTGTTTCAAAAGAAGGGTGTGAGCCTGTGTTTTGTGCTTAAAGAGTTGTCTGTGATCACATGTAATTAATTTTTTTCCCCAGAGGCTTATCAACCCTACTGTCGGTTACATCTCCAAAGCTCTGTTTTTTTAAAGTTCTTTCTGTCTTCATTTCAACTTATTACCTAAAAATGATTACAATAAGCTGTTTCAAAATAACATTTATATTAACATAAAAATGGCTGATTAATTGGGATTGGCTGATGTAGCAAGACCAATAAATCTGTGAATGAAGCAGTGATGTATTTAAGTTCCAACAAACAACTTTAATTATTAAAGTTGTCATATGCCAAAAACCATAGTCTATTAGTACAACAAGCATCACTTGGTGGCATAAATCATATGTTAATCACCAACAATATGTATTCATTATGAAAATAATGCAGATGCTGTCAAAATAATAACCTCCAAGGTATTTTAACAAAGCAACCATAAGCAGTGTGCACAAATCAGATCACAGGTTTTCATATCTTAGTGCAAAATCAGCTTGCAAGCTTAATGCTGTGTGTATTTAAGTGTCTCACGAAAATTTTAGGGTTATTCACATTATAAGCAGAGCAACTCCAAATGTTGCATTAGATTTTTTATGAACGCCGCCATCCCCCCCCCCCCTTTCTGTATGGGTTGATGCCGCTTGCTCAAGGGGGTGTTGTGAAATATTACAAAATTTTCATAGTTTTTAAGTGTCTCACGAAAATTTTAGGGTTATTCACATTATAAGCAGAGCAACTCCAAATGTTGCATTAGATTTTTTATGAACGCCGCCATCCCCCCCCCCCCCTTTCTGTATGGGTTGATGCCGCTTGCTCAAGGGGGTGTTGTGAAATATTACAAAATTTTCATAGTTTTATTTCCACTTTTAATCCATTGTTCCAATGTGACATATAGCGTTGTGGTGCAAACAGTAACCGACTTGAGAAAGTAATGTTTGCGGTTACTAGATGACACTTAGTGACCTACATACGTGTTTTATTTATTTTTACCCAACCCTTTATTTTGTTTTGTTTATGTATTCGCTATTTTGAAGTGTTCTTGTTAGAATTTAACACAAGGCGCCTTGTGATAACCTGAATGTGGCATAGGTGCGGGGAAATGAAAATTTTAGAAACACTAGTGTAGCTCAACAAAATATATGTCACATGCATTTTGGACGTACTGTGGACTAAATATTACTGTAATATCTCTAATACTTAGTACTAACTGATTATATCTCAACCTGTGGGTCGCGACCCCTTTGGGGGTCACATGACCCTTTCATAGGGGTCGCCTAAGACCATCTGAAAACACATAATATACTCTACAGTTATAAAGTATCAACGAAAATAATTTTGTGGTTGAGGGTCACCACAACATGAGGAACTGTATTCAGGGTCGCGGCTTTAAAAGATTGAGAACCGCTGATTTACCAAGTTTATTTGTGAAAATATATGCTTACATTATGACGATAATTCCTACTAAACATTGCTTGATATTTTTACAGCATTCGAGATATATTTATGCTATTTTCGACTTCCAGGGTTTCATGATAAATATAATAAAACTTTTGAATGATGTACTTACTTTTTTGCAGAGCCCCTCCTCCCCATAAGCATGCGTAGGCAAAATCAAAATAATTGAAAACTCCACCCCCCACCAGTGTATAAGTATGACCTCGGATTGACTAAAATTGTCACTAAGGCCACTATTAATGTAGACGTGTCTAGCAAGTTCATCATGAAAACACACAAAGCAACATTATGACCATCGTCACTCTCATTCCGAAAATGTGGAGGTATTAATTTTAATTACTTAAATATTTATACCACCCTCCCCCCACCTGTACACAAAATCTCCTAAATCAACACCACTCAATTCCCCTCTCAGGGCAAACGTAATATAATTATAGATGGTCTCCAGCCAATCGTATTTCTCATGTCATTCACTGCTAGATTTAGAATGCAAATGCAAGTTAAAACTAAAAACTAAAATTTAAGAAGCACTGGCGAAGCCGGACAAAATATACGCAGACCTGTTTACCTTCAAACTCCTAAAATCGTACAAAATCGTCTCAAATTCATACAATACAGTATCTTAATAGAAAATAAATAAAAATACAGTATATATAATGTATACAATAATGTTCAGTAAAATTGAGTTAAGCTGGTGTCAATGGAACTGTAGGTAAACTGCAAACTTCTGTCTCTTTTTTTTGCAGTCGTGTATCTGCTATAGATATCAATTAATATTTAGGTGAACGTGCAGATCACATTATCACAGTCTGTCACTGGTAAAAATAAAGTCACTGGTGAAATTTAATGTGGTTCAAACTCGAAGTAAGATAAGCATAAAATAAGAATTTAGTATCCAGTAACAAATTAGGGCGTCATTAAAAAAAAAGTTACCAAATAACTTGAGATTGATTTTTAGGAAAAGCAATTATTATTATTATTATTATACGTGGTTTTATATAGCGTGGTACCCCAGCCTAGGGCTGGGCTCACCACGCTGTACATACAATTTAACAAACATAATAAAAAATTTTAAATAATTTATTGATATACATTAATCAAATAAAACAAAACAAATGTATATTTAAAACCATTTAAATCTCAAGCCATGGGAGACAGTACCATTGTTTTTGGGTCAGAGGTGGGAATCAGTCAGGATAGTAGAGAATAAAGAGATGTGTTTTGAGTGCAGTTTTGAAGTTTGTGATGGTCGGTATATTGCGGATGTGTAATGGAAGAGAATTCCATTGTTTGGGTGCACAGAAAGAGAATGAGCTTTCACCGTATGTTTTTGTGCGAGTCTTGAGGACAGAAAGAATACGCGTCTGAGGAGGAGAGAAGCTGTCGAAGGGGTGAATAGACAGAAAGAAGTTCGGTTAGATAGGAAGGGGAGGAATTCGAGAAAATGTTGTGGCAGAGAACAGAGAGTTTGTAGTCAATACGTGTTTGTATAGGGAGCCAATGAAGTGAATAAAGTAGTGGTGTGACGTGATCACGTTTTCTTGCCTTTAGAATTAGCCTAGCGGCTGAGTTTTGAACCTTTTGTAATTTCTCTAAGAAGTGTTTAGGTGAACCTGATAGAAGAGAATTACAATAGTCAAGACGAGAGAGAACAAGAGCACAGACTAGGGTTTTTGTTGCACCAACTGTAAGATATTGGCGTATGGAGCTTATCTGATGAATGTCGGTATATGCAGAGCGACAAATGTGAGAGATATGATTATCGAGAGACAAATTGTTAGACAGAATATAACCAAGATTTCTAGCGGAGAATGTAAACTGTATATCGCTGAGTTAGAGGATGATTTATGATCGTGAATAAGGAGTGCCTCCGTTTTGTCATTGTTAAGCTTTAACTTGATGAGTGCCATACATGTCTTGACATCATCAATGCTCTCCCGCAAAGTCAAGATAGCAGAATCGACAAGAGAGGGATGGATATGCTTGTATAGCTGCGTGTCATCTGCGAAGGACTGGCTCGCCACAGCATGCCTCCCGAGCAAGAGGCGCAGTGGCCTGGTATACATTATGAATAGAACCGGGCCTAAAACGGACCCCTGGGGCACTCCGTACACCAAGTCAGCACTGCCGGATAGACAGCCATCGACAACAACCGCCTGCGTTCTATCGGAGAGATAGGACCTAAACCAAGCCAAAACTGATCCCGAAATTCCAAAGTAATTAAGTAATTTTCTAGGGTTTTATAAAGGATTTCATGGTCAACAGTGTCAAAGGCCGCACTGAGGTCTAAGAGGATCAGGATGGAGATATCACCACTGTCCAGTGCGAGCAAGAGGTCATTGGTGACTCTCGGGAGAGCTGTCTCAATGCTATGGAAAGGTCTATAGGCCGACTGAGTAGGACTGAGAAGAGAGTGGTCGTTTAAGTAAGCAAAAAGTTGTTTTAGTACAAGTTTTTCAATGACTTTAGATAAAAATGATAAGTTAGATACAGGTCTATAGTTTTTTAAATTATTTTCATCCAGACCAGGCTTCTTAACAATGGTTTGATGACAGCTGACTTACAAATATGGGGAAAAGTGCCAGAAAACAAGCTTTCATTGACTATATGGGTTATCGTTGGGAGGTCATGATCTAACGACTCAACCAATTAAAAAAATAATAATAAATGTCCATTATTCCTATTTTATTTCTCGCAAATTACGGACTGATTACAACCACAAGCTCTAAATGGGTACAGCTGTTTTGTGCGTTTTATAAATTTCAAAGGCCCTATCAGATTCTATGAAATATGTCAAAATCTAATATTGCTGCGTGTTAACAGTTGAGAATGCAGTCTCCAGTTTTCTCCGTTTCAGTACAGTACTCTCAGCAGTCAGCCATAAGAAATAACAAAATAACGCGAGGGGGAGCCATCTGTATAGTAAGTACCGATAGGCATAAAAGTCAAATTATGTAATAAAAAAAAACCCTCCCCCAGCGTTGTGAGGATAATTTTTCTACCCTCCAACCTTTTTTGCTGAAATAATTACACAAATATTTTTCCACCGGGTCTCTAAAAATCGTAGTTTTGGCGGGTCTCGGCATATAATTGTAAAAGACATCTCAAATTTGTACATTGTACGCCAAAATCATATGAGTAAACAGGTCTGTATATGTCACATGTGAGTTGAAAATACGGTGGACTAAATACTAATTAGTACCGTCTGAGTAAATCTAGTGAGTTAAAAAATACATGGCAATAATATGAAGATAATTCCTACAAAAAAATTGTGTGATATTTTTTTACAGCATTTGATAGATAAATAAGCTATTTTTTTATTTTCAGAAAGAATATGGAAATTTTTTTTAAAAGCGTAGTACTTTCTGCACAAAAAAATCAACAATCTACCTTTCCCCCTCTGTGTGTTTGTATTATATGTATTGCAGCAGATCGACTAAAATTTCACTAGGGAGACTACGCTAATATTACTGCAGCCAGGTCTAGCGAGTTCATAATGAAAATACAAAACAACACTATAACGATCACCACTTTCATTGCGAAAATGTGGGGGCTGTGTTAATTATTGAGTTTAATATTTAGTCCCCCCCCCCAACAAAATCTCCTAAAACTAGACCACTCCTTTCCTCTCTCAGGACAAACGTAATATAATTATAGATGGTCCACACCCAATCGCATTTCTTTATCTATTCACTGATAGACAGAGAATGCAAATGCAAGTTAAAATTAAAAACCGAAAATGTACTTTATTTTTTATTTAAGATCTGAAAAAAACTACCCGAATGCATATAGAAATACCCAGCCTCTTCAAATCATTGTTCTGTCAAGTCTTGACATATCGTAAAAGACATCTGAAAATCGTACATTGTATTCCAAAATTGTAAGAGTATAGTAAATAGGTCTGCTGTTACAGTGAGTGTCTGTAGCAAATGAAAAATAGCCGGGGGCAGGAAAAGGAGTAGAACCATGTGCCAGAGGTGTCCATATGCCTTGTTTCTCAAAACACTAGTGACTAGTGTTAGGACTTATTCAGGCTTCATCTATCAAAAAATTCACACAATGATTCACAATGGATACAATTAAGTCATCAGTATAGCTCATTTGATGTATGTTGAGATTTCAGTTTGATTCATAAAGAATGTAATAATTCATTCAATTTCCTGTAATTTTGCAGTTCAGGTGCGTATATCACTATATTACTTCTGATAGAAGTTTGTATTATGGCATGTAAACTTATGTATATGTATTCTTCGTTAAATTGAATCCAGGTAAGTTATGCAGCGCTTATTTTCATTTTATTTTATTTCTAAAGCATCTTTGAACATCCCCCAACCTTCCATAGCTCCATTTGTTTTGCATTTTTCACTGTTGCCAGATTATTGACCACCTATAAGTTGTTATAGAAATTTTCAAATGTAGGCATGTTCACAAAAATAATAAAATACCGGTGGGGGGGGGAGGTCTTTTTTTCTCTCTTCTTATATGGGTTTTTTAATATAATACCAAACAAAGGCTCCTGCGTGGGCACATGGAACGAGATTAAACTTAGTACACATACTATTGATGATACACTTGATTTTCCATATTCAAAAAACTGGTACTGAAGGGTAATTATATCATAGTATAGGCCTAAATAAAAATGATTCTATTATTGCACAGACACTCCAAAAAGGCTCTGTCCCGAAAGACAGGGGTTAAGATCTCTCTCTTCTATTTCTAGTCTTATATTTATATCATCCTAGTCACCTCGTCCTAGACTAGAGCTAGTCTCGTATTTATGATACTGATACTATCGCAGACTTCAGACTATCTCAACTATCTGTCTCAGTTCTGTCTAGTTAATTCAATGAATCAATGTCAGCAGACTTCTATTCATTCATTTAACATACTGAATTCTTAATAGCCAATTTTCTACTTAGTCTATTGGCTGCTACAAAAAGTATAACTATTAGTTGCAGACATCTCAAATTAGTAAGTAAGTAGACTAGTAAGTTAAGAAGAGTAAGTTTAGTCTACAAAAAGTAATGACAACATCAGACGAGTCTCCAAATACCAATCTCGAGCGGAAATGTTTAACTATAATTTGACGGAGAAAAGAAGAATAGAAATAGATTTGATTACCTCTATTTGGCCAAGTTTGCAATGTACGTATCCTTAAAAGTGATAAGTAATAAGTAAATATAATTGAGATATCTTTCACTTTCTCAAACTGTTCAGTGTTGTTTAATGCTCTATGAGTGCCGCCATTTAAATTGCCAGAGAAAGCTCGCAATTTTAACCAAAATAATGAATGAATGTTTATCATAGTCAAATCGTCTGCTGTAATAACTTAAAGATGAGAATTCAAGCACTTCATAATACTGTTTTTAAATCAAGTCTTATGTAACACAGCGTGATTTTTTTCCATTTATTTTTAGCGAGGTGAAAAGTTGGAGAAAGTTAGGCCCAGTCTTAAAATTAACGCGTTGTTTATAAGTTATGTTGTGTTATTTTCTCAGACTAAAGGCTAAAGGGTGATACTATAGGCTATGCTACTTAATTTTATTTTTAAATGGTCTCTGTTAACAAGCCAATAATCTATTTTATATTTTGCAAGCCTCCCTACATTATATATATTATATAAGTATATGGCACTTATGTCTATATCAGCACTACGCTGCTTGACCATGACCGCTCAACATTATCTGAGACATTGTCTAATGTAGTAAGCTATAGCCAAGCATTAAATTATGTTACATTTTAGCTGGCGGACAACATTGTTAGGTTTTTTCTTTCAAAAAGCCACGATAACATCAAATTTAACAGAATATTTAAGCTACAAACTGAGTTTAACATTTCGAAAAAGGATTTCTATCTTTGAATTAGTTTATGTCCCAAAACTAATCCCAATATTAAAGTTAAAACAAGAAAAGTTGGAATGTAGACATGAATAATAATAAATATGCAAAAGGAATATTACGCAGGTCTGCATAGCTACATTCTGAGAGCTTTGCTATTATCCAAAAGTGAATTAAAGGATTAGTAAGAAATTTCAAAATAAGCTTCAACGGTCAAGTTCAGAAGTGGGAAATGTGTTCGCTGACCTATATGTAGTGGATATCACTTTAGGCTGATTAACGAATGCACATGATGAAATGCAGATAGAAATCGCCGTCTAAATAGGCCTTATAACTTGTTTGTTTTATTACATTAAATATGGTAATAGCAACTTTCTGCAAGCAATGAGTGCTTTCTTTGACAGGACAAATTAATTTCGGGAAAATTTAAATTAAAATTGGGACAGGCCTTAACGCTAGTTCAGTGTTCCTAACTATCTGGGGGACTAGTCCCGGTCGACACATCTGATAAGCATGTTTATTTAGTTATTAAAATGTATTTAAATTCTGGAATATCATTGACAACTAATATAATACTGGTGACAATAATATATTCAAATTTATTGAAGAATAGCATTGAAGATTTACAACTCACATGTATAGTGGTTTTCCCATAATATATATTTACCGATTATTTTTAAGACGTAAAATTAATAAATCACAGTCCCAAACTAAAAAAAAAAAAAAGGTAAATTTAGTCTAAAAGAACGAGGTATGTTGTAGCTTGAATCAATAGACATGACAATATTAATTCAAGCTTCAACATACCTTGTTTCTTCTACAATTGCATTTACTTGATTTACCCAGCTTAAATGCATTCCTTCAATTATTAAATTTAGTCTAAAATTGTGTTGCTTTTATTTGGAAAAGACATCAAGGAACCCCCACCCACTTTTTTACTTTTTGTACACGTTTTAAATGTCATGTAGGCCTACTCCAAAATTAAGTTTACAACAAAGTAAATGTGGGGAAATACTTATAGCCGTTAAATATGCACCTTCCTCTCCCGATATTAACTTTCTAACAAAAATATTTAGGGCGTAAAGTGAAGTTAGCCCTTAAAACGCTAACCTGGCCTACTCGTAGCGCACATGTTACTCTCTTGTTAGTTTCGAATTTATATTAAGAAGGACATTGTAAATCAATTGTGAATGAATATAAATGATAATTTTATGCTATAAAATAATGAACAGTAACTTCCAGAAATATTGAGACCCTATCAAATTCATTTTAGTAGGGTATTTTAAAACTTTTAAATATTAAAAAACAGAAACAAATTGCTCCCTTTTATTTTTATTTACAAAAATAATGTATTTTTAAAATGCTTTTTAAAATGTTATTTTATTTTGGAAATCAAAATAAAATAATTTCATTAATTTTATTTATAAAAATTGATTTTAAATACAACCAAAGATATTGGCCTGATAAAACTAATTCCAATTACTTTCTGTTTTAGGCAAGGTAATGTTTTGCAACAAAATGTCCTATTATATAATTTATATGTCTATTTTTGTTGAAAGTCACATGGCTTTTATATTTTCGTCATGTGACTTTTTGATATCCGTAAATTTCATGTGATGGACCCCATCTTCAAAAGTAAGTATTCGTTTTGTAAATTATTTTAATAAAAGATGTGTGATATATTTGACTTAAAGCCGCATACATTATTAACAGTTTATTGTGTGTACCGTAGTTACAATCTTGAATCGTTACAATTTACAATCCCTTACTTACAATGATTGACTTACAATTACAAACATTCTACTTTTTGGCAATTTTACTAATTTTTTAATTTTAGGCTTAGTTAAGTTAGGTTAGGTCTATAACTATAGCTAATTTTGTCTACAAACTTAACTATAACTATAATCATATATAATATAATTATAATGTTAGTAATACTATTATAGTATGAGTATGCGGTATGCATATACTAATCTATATTCTATATAATTATAGTCTATATGCCTATGACTATGACCTATGACTTTCCTTTACCTTTAGTTTACTGTGCCTATACTTAGACTATACTATACTACTCTGATAGTTCTGTGCCACTGCCACTCAGGCCACTGCCACTGGCAACTATGATTATGATGAACGAATTGAATGAGAATGCCTTTTATTTATATAATATAGGCATAGGCCATAGCCATACTCACACTATAACTATATTTAATATAATATACATTACATTACATAGCCTATTGACTGTTGATTGAAATAATATGAATACTGAATAACTATTTTATTATTTAATAATTTATTAGTTGTAGTATTTATTTATTTTATGAATTATTATTAGTATTAGTATTAGTGGGCATGATTCTGACTGGCTTGGGCAGCAAGGTAGCTAGACTGTGGCTGGTGGTTTAATATTTTTTTAATTTTTAAAATATAAAATAAATATATTAAAATAAGTTTTAATAAGTAATAAGAATATAACATACATAATAAGAAAATAACATACATTTATGATTAATTTAACAGAGCGATTATTCATAGTCTGATTCAACCATTGGTTGGGAATAATGTTGAGCTAGTGGTGGTAAACTGTTTATCAGATGGGATTATAATGCTGAGTATTATACTATACACAATCAGCTGTGTATAAATTGTTAAAAGCCTCCCTTAATTTAATTAGGCCCCTATTTCTAAAATGCGGATTATAAATTCATAAATATATAAATTAACATACACTTACAAACATTAAAACTACACAACTTAATTTTTCCATATTCATAAAAATGCAAATTATACACCATAATTTTTATAAAACTAAAATGGTTTAAATAGTAATATAGGCATAGAAAAAAATCATAATTTCATATACCTGATAATATATTGAAGACAGAAGTGCCAGAGAACATAATTTTTTCAATTCTTTACAAATTAACCTAAATTCAGTAATACAAACAGTTATTCCTGTTTGCATGACTATCTGAGTACTTGTCTTTTTCTTATGGACTCAACTGCATGCTCATTTAATATTGTATGTTCCTGCCTAATATTTAAATGTTACTTTAAATTATTATTTTTTTTTTCCCTCTTTAAAGCCTCATAATTTTGATGTTATTTCAATTATTTAATACTGTATGTAAGGATAACTAATTTATTTTAGGATTGGATGTCAATGAAACATGAAGACCAAGAAAAGGGGATTTTAATTGGAACTATAAGCTACATGCATGTGACCTGAAAAAATTGAGCATCTTAGAATCTTAGCATTATGACAGAAGTGCTTTTTAAAGTCATCATTATTGGTGATCCAACTGTTGGTAAAACATCATTTGTTCAAAAATATGTCAATAATTCTTTTAGGGGTGACTATAAGATGACTATTGGAGGTGAGTTTTTCTTATATAAAAGTTACACTTCTGAAATAAATTCATGACTGTAAAAAAATAATGTTTGTGTTACTTATATTTTTAGCATCTTTTATATCTATTAAAAAAAGGGATTTCTTGTGATAACATAATTTTTTTTAAAAAGAAAACATAAAACAACAGAAAAGTTCAGAAAATTATTTCTTGATTGCTTCATCATTTCAATAATTGAAGCACAATAACAGGAAACTATTTACTTTCTTTGTAACTGTATACAACATATGTTTTGTCTTTTCTATCTCAGTTGACTTTGCCTTGAAGGTCATTAAATGGTCTGACAAGTGTAACATAAAGTTACAGCTGTGGGATATAGCAGGTAAATTTATAGACCTTTTTTTATTTTTACTCTTTCTGAATATTTAAACAAAGTCCTGTTCCTACTGTTGTGTTAGTATGTCCTTTAATATAAAAATGTTTATGTATAATACAGTGTGCTCAGAGGATTCGCTTATTTCAGGGCAAGAACGGTTCACATCAATGACACGTGTCTACTATAAAGATGCTCATGCTTGTCTAGTCATGTTTGACCTTACTCAAAAGAACACATTTCAAAATTCAATAAAGTGGAAGAAAGATCTTGATTCAAAATGTACATTGAAGGATGCCTCACCTGTTCCTTGTTTGCTTTTAGCCAATAAGGCAAGTCTTTGAATTAAATACATGGCAGGAAATTATTACTATAGAAAATGTTTAATGTGGGGCTCAAATTCAGCTCCTATAATTTGTAATAACTGCCAAAGTTTAAAAGGTCTTGACAGTGGTCATAATATTTTAATTTATGAGGCATTTAGTTTCCCTATTTCTGAGATCCCATTACCAAAACTATATTTGAGGTTAGAATTATATCAGTAGCCGTTAAACACATTTAAAAAAACAAGAATAAATGTCCCTCTTGTAAATAACGCTTATATGACCATTAGCCATTTATATGGACCCTGTGTTTAATAGAAAAACTGGCAGAACTCATTCCAGGTTCAAGCTAAGGCTTATAAATTCCTTAGCCCCAGTAAGCTCTCATTGATCAATGTTCGATTCATTATTGGATGTGAAAGCTATTATTTAACGAACAATTTATTTCATTAATTTTTTAAAAAAATGTTTGTCATTAACAAATTATAATTCCATATTGTACTTTAAATCTTGGAAACTTTGAAAAACTGGAAGTTATAAAATAATAGTAGAAGTACAAGATTATTTACCAGTAGATATTTATCAGAAAGTGTAACATAGTCATTTCAAAGACAAATATGGTACATAAAACTATTGTCATTAATCCAAGTTTGGATGGATTGTTCATAAACTCCAGGACCTAAGTGCTGGTACTTTGAGAAGCATCAAAAAAGCCATGACTGCCAGTTGAATCTGATTTAGTTTTACTTTAAGTATTTAAGATATTAAAAGCTGTTAAGATTGTTGCATACTAATACTTCATTGTCTTTGTATAACAATTAATAAATAATTCAAACAATTCTTCAAACACTAATATATTATTTAAAAATTGTATTTTAATTAGTGTGATGACACTGAACTAAGAGAAGTCACTCAGGATGAAATAGAAGAGCTTTGTCGAGACAATGATTTTCTAGGTTGGAGTGAGACTTCTGTGAAAGAGGGAACAATGATTGAGGAAGCAATGGGGTAAGTCACTAAATACTGCATTCTCTGAAACTCAGTGAAACAATCAATTTTTCATTTTGAGACACTACTTGGTGTACTGGTAGTTCAGAATATTTTTTTTTTAATCTACAGATTTCTTATTGAGGAAATGATGGCCAAGCATGCAGAGCTCGAGGGATTTTCTGATTCTTATCCAGGACCTGGTTCGAATATCAAATTAAGGAAAGAGGAAAATTCACAGCAGAATGGATCTAAGTGTTCCTGTTAACAAGTGTTTATGTTGCAATCTGAAGTTTAATAATGCAACATTAAACACATGGTTTCTTGCTCACACACACAATTCAATGAAGCTCAGTTTGAATGTTTTGAGAGAGTAGCTTAACTCTATAGCAAATCTGAAACACATTTCATTGACTCATTATAGTAATAACTGGTACTTCTCTACTATCTGTCTTCTATTAAAAGAAATTGTTTAAAAAAATATTTGACTTTCTAAGAGTGCAATAGTGCCAAGTCAATTTATTGGCTAAATGCCCTGATTGAATATTTAAACGGGTAAAACAATCAAAATGCTTATCAGTGTACACAACTATATTAGTATTTGTGTGCAACTGATAATTCTATGCAAATATTTACTTTGTAAAGTAATATTGAACATTGAAAAAAATGACATTTTAAATAATCAATGCTTTGTGTGGTTAATTATATCATCATAGTATAAGTAAAAATGATTGTATTTGTATTGAAACATTCAGTTTTATTATGTTTTCTCAAGTGCCAGTGTCATACAAAATCTAAGCCCTAACAAAGATTAATTAATTATTTTTAAAAAATCATTTAAGTTATTTTCTATCACTAATGTCTACGGTATGTCTATATATTGATGATGAGTCAGTGCAACTTTCATTATTTACTAGTGATGCATCTCATATTCAATTTAGTGCTGAATGAGACATAACATGAAAACATGAATCATTATTATTTAGCCAATAGAATATTGCGAGCTTATACAAATAGTAAATTAATCAACTACTTGAATATGTCAAAGGGGTGCAGCTAATAATACAAATGTTTGTGTGTGTGTGTGTGCGTGGAGGGGGGGGCTTAATCCCTATACGATCTTCCAAAGCAATTAGGTTATTGCAGAAAGATTAGCAAAAGTATCTTTATATTGTCAACCTTTCAATGACAGATATATGTGACTCTGAAGATCCACCCAGAGTTCAGAGGAATTATGGGCCCATGGCAAATATAGGGTAAACCACCAACCTTTAGCTCAAACTTCCTTAAAGATCCACTCAACATATTTCTGAATAAGAAAAAAAAAATTTTACTTTAATTTACTAGTCATATTTTCCAGAATGTTTCAAGGGCTCTTACCTTAAGGATCTGTTAGTATAAATCCTTGTATTTAATGTAGATATTGCCATGAATGTTTACTCTCTAAGCTGTCATAGACTGTATTGGTATTTGGGATGCAAATTGTATAAGTATGCTCATGGGCGCCTACAGAAAACTTTCTAGGGGGGGGCAAAAAAAATCATTTAACTTTCTGGGGGGGGGCAAAAATGTTTAGTAATGTTTTAATGTAGTTTTAATTTACTGTAGCGTATTTGTATGGTGAACGAACGGACAGGACATCAGCTTAGTTACTTTCTCTTTATTTTTTCTTTACTTTAATAAATTTTTTGTCTAAAAATTTTGTATCCAATCAATCCGGGGGGGGGGGGCAAGTGCCCCTTGCCCCACCCCCCCTGCGGGCGCCCATGAGTATGCTATATGTAATTTATGTCAGGCTGTAAACAATTATGAAAATCTGTAATAAATACATTTTAAATGCTGCCTCAGACTTTATTGAGACATTAACGAAGTAATATCTTTAATTTATTGCAACAGAATTTCAAGTCCAATTTCAAACAAATTGAAGTATACAATATTAAAATATATGGTGTTATTAGTTAATCATGTGATCACATTGTTAGCCCTGTGGGTACAATGTCATCATGTGGAAAGAAAAATTGTAGGCATTTTATATCATAATTTATTGTAAGATAACAGACGTTTTAATCAGACATAGTAAATGTGATGGTGCTAGTTAACACTACAACATTTGAATGTGGAGTATTTGCTTTGTGAGAGTTATAATTGTTTAACTTTAAACTGTAACAAATTTTATGGTATCATTTATTCATATGTATCTATAAATTATCTAGTGCCATAATCAGTCTGTGATTTTCAGACATTTGTTTGTGGATTAAATCCTAAACAAACATTTTGTGTATGTTTGCAGATTAAATCCTAAACCAACATACAGTTTACTTTCAATTAAAATTTCAACATACTTCTTAGAACAACTAATATTTTCTATATGTTCCATCATTAATTTGCATTTTAACACCTTATTAAATTAAAGAGAATAGAATAAGACCAATTTATAAAAGTTATCTTAAAATCATACTATCGGTACTACTTTTTGGTAATAAGTTAATTGAATGATGTACATTGATGGAATTGTTATCTTTAATGTTCTCTTTATGGGAAAAGTTTTATAATGAGTATAATGAGTACATTTTTAATTTTATTTATATATATATATATAATATATATATATATTTTTTTAATGTCTGCATGCTTATTGAGAAAATGGAACATGAAATTTGTTCACCTTTATTTTTAGGACATTCTTTTCCATGTGTGAAACATACTGCTTACAAAATGAAATAAATATTTCATTGCTAAATTTACATAACTCAATTCATTGTATTTGTATGAATTTATAAATTGATTTAATTTAAGAATTTTGCATCTATTATTCACAGGTATAGACAAATTTAATGAGCATGCACTGTTTTTCATTTCATCCAAATACAAAAACAAAAAAAGGGATTTAGGTGAAAATTATTTATTCTTTAAAATAAAAAAATGTTTTCATGATAGTATCACTCAAAACTTTTCCCCTCTTTTCCTGACACATGTAATCAATTGGATTCCATCTCCTCCACATCTCTCTCCGTGACAATTTCGACCATTTGTTTCTTTTGTTTGAGACCAGCTGAAAACAATTAGAATGGATGAAGTTAAGAATAGGGAAAATAAATAAATAAATGCAATGACAAATATTAGGTCATCCAGTCTGTAACTGTAAGGTACTGAGTTTTTCTAAACAAATCTAAATCTAACACAAAACATAGGATTTTAAAATATGCCAACATCTCAACTCACCTGCTGGGGACTTGATGAGATGAATATTCTTTTCCACTTCCTTTCTGTCTGCTTCTTTTCTGAGCTCTTTACCTTTCTTTAATCTAACAGAAGAGATAAATAAAATGACTAAAGCAGTACACTATTACTAACTAGCATAAATAGCAGAGATAAGAATATGTTAAGATTTGTTAAGTTTTGTCCAAGTGTCTGATACCATTGATGCTGCACTACTCTTAGTACCCGTATTCAAGATGCATCTTACCTGTTGGCAATAAAATGACTCTGTCTTCTGGCTTTAATTTCTTCAATTCTTTTCATAGCTTTCACTATAAGGACAGAGATTTAAGAAGTTAATAACATTTGTAATAAGAGTATTTCAGAAACAACCTTTTACTTTCAACTAGGGTAATTATTAAACTGAGCTATTGTAGTGAATATTGAATAAGGCATTTTAAACATGATTGTGTGTTTTGGATAAAAAATTTAACATATCCCGCCCTCTCCTCCTAAGACTAGAACATTATTCAGATAAATTAGTGCAGTATGGTGTCTTTTTATTCAAATATAACACATGAACTTTCCCCTGAAAATTCAGACATAATAGCATAAGATGAAGAAGGCTTGCGTGTAGTTGTAGAAAATTGATTGGAAAGTTTTAAAAAATCAATAAATAGTATATTTGAACATTTTAGCTGAAGGATAACTTTAGCCTGATTAATATTATAGTAAAGACATTGGAGATAGATCTAAGATAGTAAAGGAAAACTAACGTGTGTTTTGCCAGAGTTCCTTATTGTATTTGACTGGTTCATTTCTTCTCTTTTCAAATTCTAATGATGCATCAACTGTAAGCTCTTTGCCTGCTGCTTTTCTAAATGCTTTGGTCCAGCGTGCCTTACGTGGGTTACGTTTCTTTTGGAAGGCTTTGTGACATTTTGAGCGACAAAATCTGAATATCTGTAAGAAGAACGTTAATCAGTAGTATCACTTACGGTAATTATTTTTTTTAGACCAATATTGTCAACTCTCAAAATACATTTGTCAATATTGTTAGTAATAAAATTTCTAAAATTAAAGCTGAAAATTATCTAATTCTTTTATAGCATGGTCATAGGTCGTACATTAAGACAATAGGTGGAAACAATTTAGCTCTTTGCAGTCTAGTCTACACTTATGGAATATAGTTGGAGCATTCAAGCACAGTGTGCCTAATGCCCTAATTTTAACTTTAAAGGTTTTTAAAGCCCATACACTCAAGCATGTTATGCCCAAATCAAGCGGTAAAAATACACCAATTTCAATGTAAATGAAGTGATGTTGATACTGAAATAGTTCAACATCGTGATGTCCCAGATGAACCAGAAAATAAATAAGATTTAGATACATATGACTGGTCTGAATAAGAAGTATTTGTTGGTGTTGTACAATTGTTTCTAATGTAGACTTAGGCCTAGCTTATAATTTTATTTGGAACAGTGTTATTATTTTTGTTCATACGTCGCAGAGACTTATGAAGAGTTGGCAGTATGGACATGAAGTTGTTTTTTTTTAAAATTAATGGGATGTTTGGCATTCATCATCTACCAGAATATAAACACTACTGGGGCAGTACTGTTTACACTCAAACTCCTATAATCGTACTATACAGTTGAGTATATATAATTATACACAAACTACTCACATTGGGTGTCAAAAATGGTAACTTCTATAAGTAGATGAGCGACGATTATATTGCAATCTGCTGTAAAAATATGTTTTGCAGACGTGTATTTGCTATAGATATTAATTTATATTGAGTGAAGTGCAATAATATTTTTAATAAACCCAACCTGTCAACCGCTGAGTCTCACTCTTGTCATTCTTGAAACCCGGGTCCGAATAGCGGCAGCCATGTAATGATGATGTATGACTACTACTAGTACTACATTGACTTGGAGACTTCGATACCCAAATAATTACCTATTATAGCATTGAATTAGCAAGCTGTGGTATTGGCTTGACAGTTTTAGTTATTGTTAGTGTAGACATTTTTAATTTAATAATGATTTGAGAATATGAGAATAGTATAGTAAATATTATCCAGTATCCATGATTTTGAATGATCAATTATTTAATAATTTATTTATTAATTATTAAAGTATTATTAAATTATTATAATTAAAGTATGAATGGTCGAGCGTCGATTTGCTTTTTTGTTGTCATAGGTCGTAGACGATCTTGAAAATATAAAAATAAATAACTAACCTTACTATCATTTCGAACGAAATGAATACCGTGTCCTGGATACATAGGAGACGAACAGAAAAAACATTTCTCAACTCTCATCTTTATTTATGTCTAACAATATTTCCTTGCGGTATTGCAGCAGTAGTCGTAAAGGAAGTAAACTTCACTTTGATCCGCAGCCACTGAGTAAAATCCATTTGATTGGTCAAAATGGGTGAATTTAAATATTGTAGATGGGGAAAGCACTACAATTCCTTATAATTTGTAAATAATTGTTGGATTATCTTTCTTATGTATGCAAGTTTTCTTTCCCTCCAACTTATTGGAGACAATTTTTGCACAGCATAGTATTCATATTAACGTTGTTTTAATTTAAATCCGCATCTAGTGGAGGGTCTAAACGATGTGACACAGTTTGCCCAAATAGCGTGACGTCATTTATTACTGATTAACTATACTTTTGGGGAGTGGTGGGGTGGTTGTCGCAAATATGGCAAATGAAAAGTTCGCAACCGTAAGTAACACTATAAATAAATCTTGAAATGACATCCGAATGGGATTTAGTCTAAAGGGACCCGGGTCATGGGCGCCCGCAGAAAACTTTCTAGGGGGGGGGCACAAAAAATTGAATAATTTTCCAGGGGGGGGCCAAAATTTTTTAGTAACACTATAAATAAATCTTGAAATGACATCCGAATGGGATTTAGTCTAAAGGGACCCGGGTCATGGGCGCCCGCAGAAAACTTTCTAGGGGGGGGGCACAAAAAATTGATTAATTTTCCAGGGGGGGGCAAAAATTTTTTAGTAATGTTATAATATAGTTTTAATTTACTGTAGCGTATTTGTATGGTGAACGAACGGACAGGACATCAGCTTAGTTACTTTCTCTTTATTTTCTCTTTACTTTAATACATTTTTTGTCTAAAAATTTTTTATCCAATCAATCCAGGGGGGGGGGGCAAGTGCCCCACCTTGCCACTACCTGCGGGTGCCCATGACCCGGGTACGCATATCCACTATTCGGACCCACGTCCCTTTAGACTAAATCCCATTCGGATGTCTTTGTGGTAGTTATTTTAGTTAAACTGAAGAAGTAAGTTTGCAAACATATTGTCCATTCATTTCATTTGATACCTCATTTTGTCTTGCAAACCCAACAATAATATTTTAAAGAAGTAAGTTTGCAAACATATAGTCCATTCAATTATCTTTCATTTGATACCTCATTTTGTCTTACAAACCCAACAATAATATTTTAAATATTTTTTTTTTATCCAAACCTCTCACTTCTGATACCCGAGTGCGAATAGCCACTTTATAATTTAAATGAAGAGATAAGCTGCATAATCGCATTAAAAAATTAATGTGAAAGTTAACATTCCTTTTTCATGAACAAACCGACAAAAATTCATTTCATTTCTTGTGTACCCAATATACACCTCATCTCTGTCTTTAACTTTAAATTCATATCGACACGTTGGGACTCAGAGAGAGCTGAGTTACAGAGCAATGTGATCCATGCATTTAAAATAATAATATTATAATAATTAAAATAAATGTCCCAGTGTTAGTGTTTCAAGACTCCTGTCATTTATAATATATTTCAACATTGCTTTGCTTAAAGAATACAGCAGTAAACTAATATATATATATATATATATATATATATACATATAAATAAATTCAAGACTGCTGTGACTGCTGTGCAGAATTAGAGTATCATTTTTTTAATCTACATTTACCCAAAGCCCCAACCCAAAGACAAAAGTCTGACAGTTTCCTGACGTGAATTTAGAATATTAAAAAGAAATGGATCATGCAAGAGTAATGCCAAAGTTTTACTTGTTTAAATCAACAAACGTTTCTTCAAATTTTGCAAATATTATTATTTCAGTCCGGTTCCATTTAGTTAGTAGCAGCTTAAGTTCACAAAATCAAAATTTTCGTCAAGAAATTGGCTCACATTTTTGAAATGGGTTAAATCAGCTTTCTTAACTTGAGCCCAAAAAAAGCTTTAGTTTCAACTTGAATTCTCCAACACCCTGAGCCTGATTAGCAAGTGATATTTACCTGACCCGAAGCTTCATATTCAACACATTCAGATGAGTTGTAATATAACACTGAAAATGTTAATTCCACTACCAAGATGGACTCAAAATGTCAGCAAATTTAGAGAGGAGTAGGGAATGAGAAATTTCTGAATTTTTTAAACCAGTGACGCCGATCGTTTGAGCACTTTCCCCTCTCCTAAGGCATAGCAAATTCGCAAAGTCATTCACATCTTTTTCTTCCGAATCAGCAAAACCTTTCAAAGACTCAACAAACTACAGATGAGTGAGAGCCGAGGCGTAGCTGGGGGGGGGGGGTTAGAAGGGGACAGATGTAGCCTACACGGGGGCCAGACAATAGAGGGGTGCAAAAATTGACTTTGTTGGTATTTTTTTGATAAAAATAGTGGTTTCAGAGTGGAGGGGGCGTAAAATAAATGAATTTCCGAATCAGCAAAACCTTTCAAAGACTCAACAAACTACAGATGAGTGAGAGCCGAGGCGTAGCTGGGGGGGGGGGGTTAGAAGGGGACAGATGTAGCCTACACGTGTGCCAGACAATAGAGGGGTGCAAAAATTGACTTTGTTGGTATTTTTTTGATAAAAATAGTGGTTTCAGAGTGGAGGGGGCGTAAAATAAATGAATCTTATCCCCGGGCGCCAAACACTCTAACTACGCCCCTGAGTGAGAGAACTTCAACTTTGTATTTAATTTACATTACAATCTTCAGGTTTGATGATTGGCCGTTATTACAGCTCCAGATTTTAAGAATGATGTTCAGTTTTAAAAACAACTTCTTCTTATTTTATTTTTTAAAATTATTTGGGGCTAAACCAAATTCGCCACTCATTTAGATGTATTTGTCGGGTAACAGCGGCTCCATATCATCTGGAACGTAAGGCAATCAGCACATAGCCTAATTCTTTTTTCAAACCTATCTGAAACAGTGTCTGAAAATCAAAGGGAACCTATCCTAGATCAACTCTAATATGACCATCAATCATAAAAAGTAATTTTTATTTTTACTGTTAAAAAAAATAAGAAGAAAGGGCTAAATATGTTATTTATTTGATATCTTTATATATGAGCAAATGTGCTCAACAATAAAACAGCAAATGTCTCATACAATCCTCAATCATATCCATTAAAAGACATAAACAATAATACAGAAAATGTCTTATACACTCCTCAATCATATACATAAAAAAAGACAAGAATCATGAAAATCTGTTTCCGTTGAAAACAAAGTTATTAGCTATTACTCCCCTACCCACCCCTACCCACCCCCACCCCCCCCAAAACAAAAAAACCCAAAAAAAAAAAAATAACAACACTTTTTTAAAAAGAAAAAAATAATTATAAATAATGTTAATGTTATTCCTTATTGTAGTCATTGGATGTTTCTTGACATGACTGCTGAGATGTCAGTAATTATTAAGGATTTTTTTTTCATATATGTTTTCATCAGATTGTGTCGGGCAGATGAGACGCATTTCGGACCACGGGAACTGCTTGGACCAAGATATTTTTGTTGGCGTTTTTAGTTATATGAGCTATACACATTTTTTATTCAAAAAATCCTGATTTTCTGCTGCGGCTAAGGTCGAAGGTCGAAGGTCGTTGACGACGTCCATGTAAGGTTTTATTGGTGCGCAAAAATGAACGTCTTTCCTGTGCGATAGATTGGCTGATTACACGAGAACTTTCTTCTGAGATTTAATTTGCTTTACGCCTGAACGTTGGTAAGTGTATCATCATTGAACAATCTCTCCAGGCCCTGGGTGGGCAACACTTCCCAGGACGGCAACGGTTGTGACGAATGAAAGGCAGGTAGCTCCATTGCCACCCCCCCCCCCTAATGTGCGTTACTGACACTGGATAGCATTGACTTGTTAGTGGTTGTCATAAAATTTATTACGAAATTTGAACGCAGACAAAAAACAACGACATGATACTGGCTTAAAGATATTGTTCGAAAGAAGTCAACCGTAAGCTATGTTTAAGTCTGATGGTGTAATCGACTTTATCCAACTCGGAACGGTAGCTAGGATTAGATGAAAGCAATAGTTAAGTCTGATGGTGTAATCGACTTTATCCAACTCGGAACGGTAGCTAGGATTAGATGAAAGCAATAGTTAAGTCTGATGGTGTAATCGACTACGGCTAACTGATTGAGCTTAACGTATCGCCTCCTTCTTCAACGAATTACAAAACCACGAAATTATTCTATAATCGAATCTAACATCATCCATCAAACAGATCTATTGTAGAATCAACTCTGTCACCAGTCTTCAAACAAATATACTGTAGAATGAACTCTACCATCAGTCATCAAAAACATCTATTGTAGAATCAACTCTAATCTCCACCATCAGTCATTAATATAAACATAACATATAATCAAAACCAAAATCAGTCATCAACGATCCAACTCTACATCACCATCAGTCATCAACGATCCTGCTCTACATCAACTCTACCATCACCATCAGTCATCAACAATCCTACTCTACATCAACTCTACCATCACCATCAGTCATCAACGATCCTATCCTACATCAACTCTACCATCACCATCAGTCATCAACGATCCTCCTCTTACATCAACTCTACTATCACCATCAGTCATCAAACAATTGTCCCCGGGCCTCAAGCCCAGAGCCACGAGCCCTGCTTATGTATTTGTTAGTAGACATGTGAGTTGTTGCCCTTGCGCCCAGGATTGGTTTCCCCTTGCACGACAGATGGCATCCACTGAAACCCTCCACAACGAGGCCCTGTGCCGGGACCAGGCGCGTGCCCTACAATGGAACCTTTCAGTTATGTTTATTTGCGAGTGCCAGGTCGGAACTCATCTTCGGGCATCTCTCCGGTGGCATCTTCGACTCGGGCATCTCTCCAGGTCCTAACAAAAAACGATGTCCTGATGGCAGTTTTTGGTGATATCAAGAAATATCAGGCTACAGCTAATTAGGTTGTTTAAATTCTACCCCCTGCTCACGCCCTCGGCCGTATGCTTCAAAAGCGGTTGTTATATACATGCCGACGGAGTAATATATTGTACTAGATATAGCCCGCCAAACATTGGCGACAGCAATACGTGAACTTC